CCATAATCACATATGTACGGCATAAATTGCGCAGAAAAGCTGGTGATGCATACTAAGCCGCCAAACCACTCAGACTTTTATCGACGGGACGAGTGAATCAGGAAGCACAATCAAAGTTGATATAGCAACACCTTCTGACTACGGCGTTGAAACGCTAACATCCATTAGGAATACACTGGCCTCCTCCGGAAAAAGCGTGCAAGGACGGAGGGCGTGATTCCAAGATCATTCACGTGGATTAAGAAAGGGGCTGGTCCAAAACGGGGAAGTGATGAACCCCAACATCGGAAAGGGGTAGGCTGTGAAACATACTACTGATGCACAGGATCGAGGCTGTTGTCCAAGATTCCCGTGACTGTTTGCCCTAGTCGTTCAGCGGCTTCTGTTCAAGTGAATGGGACAGGTGAAAAAAGGACGCAGCAGTGTTCTTTGAGATCCTTGCGCAGGGCAGTGACATGCCAGCGCAAGGATTCAACTAAAGTGGCGTCCAGAGTTTCTCTGAACTGAGTGCTAGTTGGGGTGTGAATAGCAGTCGGAAAAAACTTATGAACACGCTAACTACGCGGAACTAGAAAAACTTTTGGTTGAAAGATGTGAGCGCTAAGCTGCAAAGTCGTCTTACGTGTTCCTGCGGCATGCTCGTTACGTCAACAGTGTAAAACGTGTTGGCCAAACCCTGTTCAAACGGGTCATAAGTAAGTATTAGTTCGCATCGGAGGTGAGGATAATCTACGGAAAAGAGGTCGAGCACTGCGAGACGCATTTCACAACCACAGGATTCAAAGCCAGCAACCATTTTCGTAGCCGCTCGTTGGAAACCCTCATTCAGGGTTAGGTCTTTCTTACGCCTTCAGTATAACACTTTTTGGCGTATTCAAGAGGCGGTCTGACGTAGGCCGATAGAGTATCTGACCGACCATGCGAGTAACACGGGAGAAGGTTCGCGAAATCGTCTGAATAACGGACGATTGCCTTTTAGGCTGATTTTTTAAAGTGCGGTGAGAGGGACAGGTTTGATAGAAGCCAGATACTCGTAGTGCTTTATGTCCAATGCCATCATGCTGAACAAAGACGTTAGCCTAGTTTCCTCTAACCTGGAGGTTTGTATTGTTTCAAATTTGCATGAAAGTGGCTGACAAGGGACCGCTGGCTTGCAGGGTCGACATCAATTTGAAAATCATTGGCTTTAAAGGTGCGGGATTTCATATCGTCCGCCGATGGTAAACAAGGACGTCAAAGATCATCTGAAAGTTTCTTGACGTATATCAAACTCAAATGGATGCAGGCCCAGAGGTTCTACCTTTTATGACAGTCTCGATTTCTTAAACAGTGGGCACCAAAGTTAGCAACCATACTGGCAAATCTCAGAACAATCGGCTACGCGAGTGCGCTGTATTATAAAATAAAAGTGATTACATGGATACGAAATTACAAACCTCAACGGTTTTGGACAAACGGCGAGGTACTCCTAAAGACAACCAAAGCCGACATGGATCGGCAGTCAACGCGTGATCAAAACCGGATCGTAAACTGATGCGTTGGGACAAATTTATAGCTGACCAAGGTTTCGGCAAAAATATTACAAAAGAAGCGGTAAAAACAACTTGCGTAGCAAGGAAAACGGAAAATATAAGTGTCCTGTAGAAGTGAAATAGAGTTCAGTTATACCAAAAACGAAAAGGGCGGTCCATCTCAGTTGTTAACCGGTAAGGCAGTCATTCAAGATAATAGGAAATTTTTAGGATATACGAAGTTTCCACACTACCTTCTAGGAACGCCCCATCCCAGCCACAATTTTTTTTATTTTCATAGGAGTCGAGTTTACGGAGCAGCGGAACGTGTGATACTCTGTAGAATGCTATTGATGAGTCTGGAAATATGACGTCCAATATGGGCCTATTCCTTGGCTTAGTTTTAGCTGTCCATAAGTACGAGCATGTTTGCTGCTGAAGAACGGTTTTGGAGGATTCTATGCTGAAATGTTATGTTGTGGTTAGTGAGGTGATTTAAACGGCCCGTTTCATCACCTTGTACGGTACGCTGATGAGGCTCACACATGTGTAGCTGCCGAGCAATTTTCAGCTACCAGTTTCGAAGACTGGCGTGATTATCGTTTTCTTCTAAGCAAAGAAAAGTTTGCTTTCGTTAAGTGACTGACAAAATACCCGGAAGGAGTGCTGTGCCAGTTTGGGAGACGTACCCTTCTGGATGCATGGATGAACCTCGTCTGGCCTCAATGTACTGAAAGGTTTGTGCAAGAGTTGGAAAATGTTCTCTCCCAGAAGACCAAGTTGATTGGGGTTTTTTCGTAGCTACATCTTAAGAGGATCAAATGTGGTGAGGTCGCCTGGGCACAATACAAGCCTGCATTAATTTCATGAAGGAAACCATTCACAAGGCTGTTGAAAAACCTTCAACAGCCCACGACCGTTTTCGCCCTTCTTGGGGCTCATTAGGTAGACGCAGGCCCCGAGTGTTCATCAACCTTATATCCCAATTGAACTCAAATTTGACTGTTCTCGAGAAACACTCAGCAAATAAGCTTGGTTTTTACTCGGTTGAATCTCTCGGATGTTATATTCTGCAACTGAATGTGCTGCACACAGGCCGCCTCATGTTTTGGTTGGCACGATGTGGTGTTCCCGTATTTTATGGAATGCCAGTACGTCTAATATCACTTGAAGTTACCTTGTTGTACAATGGCTATGATCTCGTTTTCAGGAGACACCGGATCTTCTTAGATAGACTTTAGTCCATTTGAATACGCGTTGTTGTCTCGGATTTTTAGGACAATGGGTCATCCTGCAGGACTCTTCTAATGAACCTGGTCCAAGTTTTAAGCGTTCAAGGAACCTACTCATTTCTTAGAATTCTACACAACAGAGGTTTCGAATCTGTAGCTACCCTTTCGCCACATACACGATTGTACAGGTCACCGCCACTTGCTGGATCAAGAGATCTATTTTTTCCCTTGCACTCACAAATCACGCTACAATCGTGACTAACTTGACTACACAGCTCACAGTCAAGCCCTTCATCCCAAGACCTCGTTTTTTCCTTGATAGTACAAACCACGGTACACATCCGATATCGACCGTCTACCGTTGATACGGTAGCAAAAACTCATGTGCTGACACCCACACACGCAAACATCTTACAAATAGGATGCCAGCACAGCAACACGACACAACTCAACAGAGCTTCGCACGTCGCCCAGCTCGGAGCAGAGCCGCTCAGGATTTTTTACGGCGTTTCACTCACGGATATCCGGGACTACATGTGGCTGTTACAACAGCGAAGAAGACACAAAACCTGCATCCGGACATACAACAGGATTTATCAAACTGTACCTGCAAAACGATAGGTCCCTTGTTTGCATATATATCTACTGTAACAATTTCGCCCAACAAGCGGACATTGTTATTGCTCCCCGTTTTCCCGTTCGTATAACTAGTTTTCGGGTTCCGTTAGAGCATTAACAAATCCACTTTTGAGGTTCCGGACTTCTAGCACAGTAGCGGATGAATTATAAGCTTAGTCCACAGTGGTTGCTTTGATTTGGTTTTTGGTTCATTTCTTCTACTTTTTGTGTCGTGCAACGCTATTCCAAATTTTGTTATTTTGGTTTTGCGCATATGCCACCTTTCTTGTTTTGACCCGAACATAAACCCCTCTTTGACCTTGTCATCGGACGTGTAGTTTAAGTTTACAGTGGTCTCGCCACCTTGTAAACGCTTGACTTTAAGTCTGTGCATACGACCAAAACTTCTGGCTTTTCAACGCCAGTGCCCTTCAAATGTATTTAGACGCTGCAATACAGTTATAGTTTGCCGGCCAAACTCCTCTGAATTATGAACGGTGCGTCCATGTGTCATTCGGAGACTCAGCGATCACCTATGTCGTGCACGCCGAGATTTGATCAAAAGCCATCACGAGGATAGATGCCAAAAACGATTTAAATATCTGACTCTCTTCAAGAACGTCTTCTTACTGCACCACTCAAAGGGCATTCACCGTCCTGTAGATGATTCGGTGCATCTTCTCCCGTCTTACTCGGGTGAACTTTTAAATACTCTATGAGGCCTGGATAAGAACGCCTCTAAATATGCCAAACAAGTTGCCCAGTCAGGACGCACGAAGGACGCAACCCTCTTGAGCGTGTACAGCGAGCCGCTACGAAAATTGTTGCCGGCCTTAAATCCGTGGACTGTGAAACGCATACCGTTTTGCTTGACCGCTATCCCCTAGATTATCGTAGCCTCCGAAGAAACATTATGCTCACCTACGCCCTGTTTTAACAAGGTTTTTTCAATAGGTTTGTTACTGTTTACGCAACAAGCTTACGGCGGAGGCATTTTGAGGAGATTTTCTAGCCCAGAGCGCGCACTTTCATCAGGCAAATGTCTTCTCATTTCGAGTGGCTGCCGCGTGGGATAAACTTCCTCCGGCGTTTGCACCCACCCCATTTAGAATCCAGTTCAAGGTTTTATTAGATAGTTTTTTATGACAGTCTTTGTGCTGGCACGTTAACTGCCCCTCGCTGAGGAACTGAGTAGCAGTGCCACACTCTTTTTTCACCTGTGTCTTCTAGGTGAAAGGCAACCGCCGAACATCAATGACGACATGGGAAAATTGGACGTAAGCCTCGATCACGTTAATTAATCCCTGAACGCATGAATTAGAACCAAGCTCACACTCGCTGGGTCGTACAACTTAAATGTGAACAACGGCCAGGCATTACGAACTACTAACTAATTTCAACAAAGCGAGTCATATGCAACTTTCATATAAGATATTATTTGCGGATAAGTTTCTGTCCACGTAGTACGTTTTTATAAGGAATCGCATGTTCTTTTAAATGGTATGTCACAGCCGCAATATCTATGCTACTCCGCTGTATACGAATGCTGAATCTATGCTCTCATTTGAATTCAGACTGAACTCGCTGTATCAAAGTAACGCCCAAAGAACGAATTCCTTGACCTTGAAAAGGTTAACACATCTTATAAATTTGATGAGCGGCCACGATTATTCTTCACCTAGGTCCACTAAGTCGAACAATTCAGGAAACAATACTGATGAAGATGATCCGGTTGTTGCCATGATAAAGAAATCAGGTTGCTTGGAGGAACATTACGACGTTCTGCAGTGTATGTACGAAAATAAAGACTGGAGAGCCTGTCAAGACGTCCTTCACGTATTCAAAAGCTGTATGAACAAATCTAAGCTCAACTCAAACTGAGATGGAGTCTAAAGAAACGTACGCGTTGCGTGTCTGTGGCCCGATGATTGTTCAAAGCCTGGATCCAATGGACGTACTAGATAGTCTGTTCAGTGGAAAGTGGTTATCCATTGCGGAATACCAGCAAGTTTTCCGAATGTGTACAGGCGGAAATATAAGAGACGCATGCATAAAATTGTTGGATCTACTACGTTCTAGACCATCCGGTGCGTTTGAGTGCTTCGTAAAAGCTCTTGAGGCGGAAAACTCCTTCTTGGCACCGGAACTCCGTCGTCTCCAACAACAAGCTCCAGAGGGAAGGTAAGATGAGTGCTTTAGTGTTTTTGTATCAGATTCAGTTCGCCTTTATATGCTTCATCTCGACAATGAGATCCTATTTCGTCCAACTATTTCTAACATATTCGGGTGTGGGGGGTCGTCATGGTTGTTTATCGCACCAAAGTATTCCACTTCGGGATATTTGCGTAGTGAGGACGTCTTAGTTTGGGCCAGATGACAACCCGATTTAGCCCTCGAATTGCGAATTCTTAGTGGCCTTCAACGTCAACTCCTGTGTACGATGCCGGAGGTATTCTTTAATACAAGGAATAGTAACCAGACTACCTTTGCCGCTGACACATCGTGGTGAGTCGTGAGGGCCCTTTCGTTTATCATCTGGCGCTGATTTAAACGATGGGATAGGAATCGCTGCTAAAGCTTGAGATGACTGGCTGCTTTAGGGTCAGCATGGAGGCATAATATGAGGTGAGGTATAAAAAGTTTAAGTAAACTGCTTCAACGGTGGAAACTAGGTCTGCTGTGACCCGATGCTTGAGAGCTTATAGCATAAGGGCTGAGCATTGGTTGAAAAAGCTGAAATCTGGTTTGTGCATCCTACGTTTAACCAGTCGTCACACATCCTGGTGGGCTATTTTCCGCCTCCAGGAGTTAAAAACCAACTTACCCTCCGACTGAAGGATGTGACAAACATGCGAAAGCGTTTAAATTTCAGGAGGTTATTATCTTAGGTTCCATGATAGTTCGCTTCTTGTTATGTAATGCTGTGTGAAGAGTTTGCGAGTTCAGGCGCCGTGCTATTTCAACATGGACTTCTGAGAAATAACGCTTCTTGTAGACCCATGCGTTAGAACTTATGGTCTCATCCATCTTTCATTGACCTTAGCGCGACATTTACCTACCGGTCGGCGCTGATAACATCATGCGTTGCAAAACGAATCCTCAAGTTTTGATGCACCGTTCTTCTGCTCGCTGTTAATGTTCGTATGTTGAGGCAAGGAGGACACCAGGCCTCTGTTGCTTGTACACTGAACTAGCTTGGACGTGATACGTGCTGCGTGTCGTAAACGAAGCACGTGACCACTTCTGCGCAACTTGTGGGGTGTGGACGAGTCATTTCCGAAAACCATTCGACATGTTTTAGCTTCACTGATCCAGTATTTCCACCAGATTGGTCTTCACTGATCCAGTATTTCCACCAGATTGCGGGAATGCTCCGGACACATCGGTGGTCAGACGCTGAAAGTCTTCAGCGGACACGGACATTGGGGGCGAAATTAACCAAGTGGTTAGAGCGCGAATTGACTGACCGGAAGGTCTGTGGTTCGAACCCGACCTCTGCCTCTCGACTTCCCCTGTCTAGGCTTGGGCGACCTGGCAGTATCCCAGCCCTCGTGCCTCCTCCGTGTGGCATGGCAGCTAGGCACCGGAAGGGTGCCTAGCTGAACGATTATTATTATTATATTTATCAGCGGACACCGGCCAGGTTTCTGACTCAGCAATGTGGAGCGCCCAGCAGCATTGTGAACTCGACCACTGACAGATAAGCTAATATCACATCTGTGCCAAAGGTTGATGCAGGTTCACCAATACTACTCTGGCCTTCCCAATCCAGATGGATACATGATTTTTTGCGACACCACCGGGACTGATGCAGCTGTCCAGGTAGACGAATTTCTCTACCGCTTTAACCGGCTCATCCGCAAGCATGAGTTTGGGTTCGAGTTCACGCATTCTTGCACCGGCACCCTACAGGTGTGGAGAGCATGCCAAACTATGGGGCAGAATGATTTAGATTAGTTAATGTTGGTGAGCTTTCCATGATCAGGTTAATGATGGAGTCGAGAGGGAAAGTGAAAGAGGACAGCCTTGCCTGACACCACTTGATGTGGTAAACGCAGGCGAGGGTTTACTGTGGACCACGCTTGCGTGGGAGTTGGCACCTAGCGCCTTAAGAAGAGTCAAGGATTCATTGGGACCCAGTTCCCCATTGCCAATGCCATAGTCCCTGACGGTTTACGGAGTCAGAGGATTCTTTTAACTCAAGGAACACTGCCATTGTTGGTTACTGGAAGCAGTGTCGCTATTCGGGAATATTTCGGAAGATGAAAATGTGGCCGATGCATTCTCTTGCAGGACGAAATTCAGCCTGGTTTCCACATATCTGTTTCTCCCTGTATTCAGTTAGCCTTCGAATTAGGAGACCAAAGAGACCCTTCGATGGCACTGCGGTTTTCATACAGTTTTGACGTAACCCTTTTTGAAGATGGTGCCTGTCACTCTGAAGGCACTTTCCACACTATACTGCTTCAGTGAATTTTGTCAGATGCGTCACCTGGGATTTCCTGGCATCAGTCAGGACTAGCGATCTCGGTGGTATCCGGCGGACATTTGATCTTACTGGAGAAGTCGAAGAGATAGCGCTGAACACAGCTAGCGCTTCATCCACGTGCTCGTTGCTGGTACAGTATTGTGGAGAGTATTTAAGCTAACTCAGGTCGATACTGCTGAACCATAGTACTTCCGCGGAGATGGTGTGTGCATACGAGGGTCTGAAGGTAGTCAGACTGTCAGGCATGATAGAAATCAAGTTGTGTACCCCAGAAGGTATGTCATTCCTAAACTGTGGCTTCCAACTAGTGGCTGATCGTCACGTGCCCCAATCGGGTGATTGGATCGGGTAATTTGCAATTGACCGCTACCAAGTTATGCGATGGAACTGTTTGGGTTTGAAACTCGTGCTCGCTAGAAACAGTTGGTGATCAACATACAACCGGAGAGACGCTGTCCATTGTCTATGCCAAGAACTTTGACTCTGAATCGACCTCCCAGAATTGATTCCAAGGAGCTCAGGTGACCGACTATGGAATTCATATCACCCATAAGGAACACAATGTCAGTGCTTCTTACTTGACCAATGAGCCCGAATACTCTCGATGGAAAGTGTCGTTCTTAGGGTTAGAAATGCAGTACGTTGGGGCATATGCCAACATTACAGACATACACCGGTTTTATGTTGGGAGGCAGTCTGGTTGATTGGGCTTGATTGGGCTGGATAACCGAATGGCGCAAAAGATTGTTTACTGAAATGAAATACAGCAAGGCACGTTCAGCTGTGGGGCTGAGTGTGACAGTACGCCATATATTCCGAAACCCATCGCTTCTGGATCACCGGACACACAGAGAGTAAAATATAAAGTCTGAGTTCATCCATGGTGTTTTTAGGATGCATTATTACTCTTGGGTCTTGTGTGCATGTTTCAGAGACACATAAATTCTAATCGAATTTAAGGTCTGGGCAAACATCCTGTTTTCCAATTTGACACAGAGTATGGACGTTGGTAGCCCATATGTAGAAGGGGTCTTGCGCATCTATCAAGGTATAGTTTTGTTTCTCGTCTAATGTTAGTGGAGTGTATAATCTACATTACTCAGATAACTGACAGCGGAATAAACCAGCAACGTTTGCTCGTGTGGTGAGAAGGGGTTTAGGAGAGATTGGTGGACAAAGAACTGTGCGTGGAAATGATACCCTTAGGTTGCTCAGGCAATTGAAGAGGGTTTGGATGATGTTGTAGCTGTCTGGTAGCTGAGTTATTCATGAAGATTGATAGGGCTTATTCTTTCGCGTTTGATAGTCTAAGTACGGCAGTGAAGCATCAGTGCCAACAGTGATGTTGCTGTCTTTGATGATGATGATGAGTCTAAGTACTTGAATGGGAAATCACAAGAGAGGAGACAAAGGAGACCAGGTGAAGAGCAGCCATATTGAGGATGAACCAATGGAAGGCAGAGCCCTGCGGCTCGGTTGGCTACAACAGAGGGTAAATGAAGCCTTAGTGAAATATTATAAAACGTATAATTGTTAGGATCTGACCTTCCTAAGAGACGAGGAATCTTGCCTTGGGCCGTTGGCTCACAAATTTATCCTACAAAACAGTGGGCGGATGAATGGTTTTGTTCGGGGACCCTGCCCTTAGTTTCTGAGGTAAAAGTTTGATGCACGAGGCAGCAGGCACGAAGGGCTGATACCTGAATATTCTGACCTGTTCAGCTACAGGGGACTGACCTGAGATGAGGGCGCAAGGAATAAAGCATTACTGTGCACAAAGGGTGCCTTTTGGACAACATCAGACTTGTCGGTTCTTAAAGTATTTCGGCCGCATCCTGTAATGTGCCGGCGGTCATGTCCAACCATTAGGCGATCAGTGTACGCTTTTGGGGACCGACTTTACACAACCCGGAGGAAGGCAGCGCCGATGCCTCCATAAATATGGAGGCACACTCCCATTGTGGAGGACAGTACGACTTTGTCACAATGCAAGTACTCGTAGTACGGGGCGTCCCACTGCTTTTGTGCTGACTGCGCCCCGTTGTCTTTCCTGGCATAGTTGAACCTTGTGGAACGGAGTTTCAGCCAGTGTAGCCCACGGAGTCATTACAGCACCCAAGTTCGATTACCGTTTCAAGTTGGCAGCTTTAGGTCGGGGGATATCAGTCGTCGAACTTGACAATGCACGCGTCCGGGATGATCTGCGTCCCGGACTTTTCAAAGACGGTGTTGTCTTGGTGGGGAGTCCGGTGGCCTTGTTGCGGAAGATTTGGAAAGAATACGGATTGCCAGTGAGATAAGACGCCTCAACATAACCCTAATTCTCAGAATTGGCGGATACTATCGTGGCATTAACCTGGTAGCCTTGAAGTCTAGGGTGCTTGTTTGAATTGGTTTTTGTTTTATCGGTTACTCAGGTGAATCCTATTCGCTACCCAGTAATCACTTTGGGGACTGTTTCAGTATTTGGATGTTGTAACCAGCTGATGTCTGCTGTGCTGCAAAGACACCGGTGATCAAACACTTGAGGGCATTTCAGGTATTCAGACCGGAAAGGCCAAGTTTCGCGACCGTAGAGTAGAACTGCTGTCGCGGTGGTTTTGTAGATATGCCACCTTAGCCCCAGTCATATTCCGATTTCTAGCGCGAAGATGTCGCACTCTAAAGTATGACCTGTGTATGGCAGCCAAGTGTCATTGTTGAACACTGATGTTATGCTATCTATGCTGCTGTTGCTGGTGATGAAGAATGACCTTCAGAGGTATGCCAAAGTAGGAAAGTTTCCGATATTCTGTCGAAAGTAGTTTGTGCAGACGGGTTATCGTCAAATAACAGGACAGTGTCATGCTCATAGTCTAAGCCTACCAATCTCTCTCCGGAGACGACCTTGACATACAGGTTCCCGGTCTTCTAGGTAGTGCACTCTTTGATGGTGGCAAACCTGANAGGGACAACCTGCTGAACCCAACTGCTTGTTAGGAGATTTCTAATAGCTAATTGTAAACCGTAAAGTGACCGGTATTACGGGGATGCATGTCACGAAGGATGGCCACAAAGTTCGATGGCATTCTTCGTTGACCAGGTATCTGTAGAAAGGCCAGTCCATCCATTTGTTCGAAGGCTACTTTGTAACCTTTCGTGGCCTAATGACTTGTGCAACACAACCCGACAAATTATCGGACATAAGGTGAAAAGAGCTGTGCGCGCATACAGGAGATTGGGGGTTCAAAAGGTTAAGGAGGTAGAGATAGCGAACGCATCTGATAATGTGCCTAAACTATTCCAGCTGATATGCACGACGGTCCCCAAGAGGTTGTTGGTGACCGTAATAATCACCGACACTAACGGATCACCTGTCTTTAGGAAGGAAGAACGCCTGAATCGCTAGTCTGAAGATGAAACGACAAACCAACTGTCTACCCGAAGTTAGTCAGATTCCAGACACGCGATGCAGCCCTGAACAGTTGACTCGGCTGGTAGGTGTCAGTTGAACATGCTTCTCGCATCATTCAACTACCATAATTCGAATGGCTTTAGTATTCGTGAGAGCAGTTTTCCCTGGTTACCAACTGATAGCTTACGCTCCATTTGGTTCCGGGCTTGCTGCATTCGGCTTGCTTCCGCTTAGGAGAACCGGTGATCGGATCATTAGATGGGATGAACGAGGTTCTGAAGCTATAAACTGAGGCGGTCTGAAATATATCAATCAAATTTCATGGAAATTCGTTTCTGGCACCTCAAATGACTCAGTTTGACGGAAATCTCCTACGCTTTGATAATGAGTGTATTACTCCCTCATTTCGAAGTGTAATCTTGGCTTATAAAGTTGTCAAGGTACGCAAAATGAATGACCAAGTGAAACCCTCACTTTGAGGAATAAAAGGAACACAGTTGTTGCGCACTCGAATGATTGTGCAACAATTTAATCTTCTAACAATTTTAGTACATCAGCTAAAGCATTACAATTAGCTTTTAATCTTCTAACAATTTTAGTACATCAGCTAAAGCATTAGGAAACAATTAGCTTAACGAATAGCGAGTAAAAAGTTAAACACGTCAGTATATAACAACAGTTCGGCTGAAAATCCTGAAGTAAGACCGCACGTTACATGTCCGAAACGCACGTTGACAGGTGGCCACTCCTAACATTGCATTTAGAGTAGATTATAGCTCCTTGCCGTTGGGAAAGTTCGTAGTCTTGTCGTAAGAGTTGTGGCGCGTATACTCTAATGGTTACAGTAAATCTGTGACGACTGATTAGCTATAGTTTTGTGAAACTCGTTAAAGCTCTCGTATATGTCCGACTGGGTCAAAGCAGAACGCAAAAGTTCACCGCTGTGTGACTTGAGTTTATCGGGCCTATCAGTCCCATGGTGTTTTAAGATAACGGTGTATCCGTGCCTTTTTAGCTGGAAGAATTCGAACTGGTGCAACACGATCCGGTTCAAGCATGTGCTTGTAATTTCAGTTGATATGTTGAAACCATCTTGCCTAGTGGTATAAACGCCGGTTACTCCCATATATCAAATAGTACTTTTGACAACCTTAATGGTGAATGGTCTTTGAACGAAGTGGTACTTGACAGTGACCTTTTTTGTCGCCAGACATACAGATTGATGTAAACAGCAATTTATTTTCTCAAAACATTTCCCAGGCCAACAACTGCAAGTACTTCTGAAAGGAGGCTGGATATGGACTCCACTGATGACCACATGAGTGAAGGCCTCATGCAGACGAACTGAAGCTGCGGCAGTAGTCGAAACATAAGCCGACTGTTCAGAGTAGAGCGCCGATACAAATCCATTGAAACTGGACTTCTCCACAAGTCTTACAGATAGAGTCCCTAACTGGGATGATGTGCACGAAAAAATCGGGTAGACTGTGACAAGGCAAATGTAGGTGTATTAATAGATGGGTACAAAGGAGTTAGTTGTGGAGGAACAATAGTAGTGTGAAATTTTACGGTGGGATTTTTTGTGTGTATATGTATCAGACTGTTTACCTGCTATCTCAAAGCAGCCCGAAATAGCTCAGTGGTTAATGCGCGAACCTACTGATTGGTGGTTCGAACCCAACCCTGTTATCTCGACTGCGCCTGTCTAGGCTTTGGCAACCTGCTAGATTCTCAACCTTCTTGCTTCCTTCAGATAGCACAGCCGCTATACACTGGAGGGTGTTACGGCTAGACCATTATTTTTATTGTTAACTCTAAGGATTTAGCTCAATCAAACGCTGTACTCAGATTCAATGACGTCTTTGGCGGGTGGATTTGGGAAGTATTCCACTTGTAAACGCATTTCAAATGGCATCACCACAACTTTACTCGACTACTTAGCTTTTTTAAAGCTGCAGTCTTTAGGAAGGACATGAAGACTTCAAAAAACCTGTTCAAACTCTTGGCAGCCTCTTTTTAGTGCGGCCAGCGGATGCGCACATATTGCGTTTTGCGGTTTGATGTAAACGGCTTTAAGACTGTTTGTCGCTGAATTATAGTCAGTGTATGGGCAATAAGTTTGAATTCGGATCGAGACACAAATCTATTAGCAATAAGCATAAAATACTTTTACGTCGAGGGGGAACACTGAAGACCTGCAGGTTAGGTTAGGAAACCCCGGATGAACGCCAAATCTAATTACGTGAGCGATAAGTAAGTCAATATATGTGTAGTAAAAAAAAGCGCAAATGCAAGTGGAATGACAATTTAATGAAAGTCTACACTGGGCGAAGGTGAGTCTGTTATTAGGAAACTTCGGCCCAGCAGAGAAGCTCCTCTTCATGACTTTATGTTTTAAAATAGATTAACTGACGATTAACCTCTCACCAACATTTTATCGAGAGGACAGCCCGATCATGCGCAGTTTATCACTACGCGTTATTCAGGCATTTGATGGCAGGTGCTTGCAGAGCCAATCACTGGAAAGTGGAAATTACTGGGGAAATGATATAAAAAACCAGAGGATACCACACGATAAATTGCCGCTTGTGATCTGTCGAAGTTGTTGAAACCCAAGACTCATGATCTGCAACTCTGTTAACTGGCTTGCAGTGATTGGGGGTGTCCTAACCTCCCTTATTTATACTTTTGTCAGTGAAATTTCTTTTCTAATTACATTGGGAAAGTTACTCGGCGGGTGGGCGCAATTTGCAACGGAGCGCACTGTTCCAGAGGTCTCGACAGGCGTTAATTATCAACTAAACGCATCGCATCTTATTTTGCCTGGAATCTAACGTTCTGAATCTGACTGGCATCACCACCAGTGATCAGTGCCATTGCTTACTCTCGTTGTAGTAAAATAGCGTCTGACTCTGTTATTGACTTTCTTAAGCACCGTCACGCTGTCCGTTGTTTTCGATCCACCGCAGGCGCCGTGAGCACAGTCTATCCGATTTGAGGGAAACCCTTATCGATGGTGCTGTCCCGGATATACCGATTCAGCACGTATATCGACGCAAACTGGTCAACAATTTGGCTACATGCCTTCGAACGTTAGCCGGTCGTTTCCGTTTCAAACTCAGCACAGATAACGCAACCTCAGAATTCCTCAATCTCAGTCTCGATGTGAATGTACCGAATAAAGGTCGTGGAGTCCTACCACAGTTCACGGATTCACAACCGGAGTGGCAGCCCCCACCGACCAACTCGTGGCTTTTAGTTCATGGAATGGCTGGTTGTGGTAAAACAGCCTTGTGCGCCAGTGTACTACGTCGTAAATTGGAGTTATTGGCCGAATGCTTTCCCGCAGGTAAATTTTGTGTCCTTCCATTTTATTTCTCATTGGTCTCTTTTCTACGCAGTTTCAAAATTTCAGAAGTTCAGAATTGAATAACTTCATAAGTTCCACAGCCTCCCCCTTGAAGACGGATTGCTTGGTATTTCGGCACCGCTTGCGGAAGAATCCCACATCTGATGATCCGGATTTTGCTTGCCATCCGGTTCCCAAAGTCGCGATACGTTCGCACCATGCCTTATACTCCCGTTTCAATGATTGTCTGCCCTAAGCTCTGCAGTGGTAACGAATACAGAGAGGATGAGACGCAATAGAATGCCATTGCAAAGAAACCTCCGTTACAATTTGCATCTTTTTGAACTGTGACAAGTGCCGTGCGTACAGCTTTGCATCACAACAAAGTTTGTTACAAAGGACTTCATGTTACGATGAACTCAAAACCCGGTCCCGGTTAATTGTTGGTAGCGTAGTTCTAATGTGGTCCAACGGAAAATGTTATTCAGGATGAGCGTTAAGTGCGGTGGACACATTTTGATGGGACAAGAGAAACCGGCTATAAGTTTTGATCGAACGATTCAGGAAACAACGACAGACCATACCAAATGTCGCAATATTGATTCAGGTTAGGGTGAACCTGAAAGTTCCACTAATGTTGTTCGGAGAAAGCATTTGCGTGCTCGAGGTAGAACTGCAATCTTCTAGAGCCCCAGCCCCTGGTGTTCCACATTATCACATTGTAAAAGGTTGTGAGGCGAAATAGTTTTTTCGTGAATGCACGAAAAGACAGTCGAGAATGAATTGTCTTTATTTGGATATAAGTGTGGGTCTTTTCTGTCTGGATCATAACTTTCTCAGTTTCCACATGAAGTTCTCACTGTATGTCACCACAGTAATTGGCCAAGCAGTCCACATGCCAGAGCATTTCAAAGGTCCGGACGTCACCAAGTTATCAGCCTTATCAATTCAGTTGAAAGGATGAACAGACATCTAAAGCGGGGCGAGATACAACCGATCGAACGATAGTGTCAGTATACATATTGAGGTCAGTCAGGACGGCAGTAACATATTGGAGATTTCTAGTCAGACCAAGAAACATGTTCTTGGCTCTTTACACCTCAGCCGTACAAGCGGCAACAAAACCAGTGACCGTCCGTAATGGTGCATCTACCCACTGTAATCTTACGGAAGCAGTTATAGGGAGATGAACAGAGCTGAAAGTTGTCCGATGAAGAACACTCCTCATGGTGAAAGTTGAGTAGGCGGATTAATGTTGTTTGGAAACACAATCCGGATATTGGGTTTTAGTAGTTAAACGAGCTTTAGAACACCAAGCTGCAGAATATAGTGTAGGTTCTCTAATATGCACTGAGTTTGAGCAGGGTCTTCTTTCGCACTCCGTACCTCGCGTTGTACATATAGGCTGAGATTGTTGGTGGTTTTCAGCAGCTGTGGTAGGATTAGTGACTGGTAACAATACTACAGCAACAACAATATGTGTGTATCTAACAATATGTTTGCCATTGGTGTGTGGAAGTCAGCAGTTGAGTTATGTCAAACAGAAGGAAGTCAGCTTGTTCACACTCCAAACCGAAACTACAGTAGTTATTAGTGAACAGATGAATCAGGGTCGGAGACCTGTGCTTGATGAGTGATCGTACACTAGGGGAGTAGGATTTAACCAAAACAGAGTGCACATGCCCTCAAATCTTGTACACACAAATGGGACCAGAACTGCATTTTTCATAGTCTCTTTTGATGAGTAATAGACCAGCGTCCTTACCTCAACAACTAGGGTGATGAATCACATTCGGCTTTCATGAGGTGGGCGGTGAATTTCGTCGGTGTCGATTTGTACAACCTCTAGAGCATCAAGTGTGCTGTCCTGCCACTTTTGAAATTTCGAATCAGACGAAACATTTTTGGTTATCCTTATCTGCCTCCAAATCAACCCAGTACTGGTAACAATACTACAGCAACAACAATATGTGTGTATCTAACAATATGTTTGCCATTGGTGTGTGGAAGTCAGCAGTTGAGTTATGTCAAACAGAAGGAAGTCAGCTTGTTCACACTCCAAACCGAAACTACAGTAGTTATTAGTGAACAGATGAATCAGGGTCGGAGACCTGTGCTTGATGAGTGATCGTACACTAGGGGAGTAGGATTTAACCAAAACAGAGTGCACATGCCCTCAAATCTTGTACACACAAATGGGACCAGAACTGCATTTTTCATAGTCTCTTTTGATGAGTAATAGACCAGCGTCCTTACCTCAACAACTAGGGTGATGAATCACATTCGGCTTTCATGAGGTGGGCGGTGAATTTCGTCGGTGTCGATTTGTACAACCTCTAGAGCATCAAGTGTGCTGTCCTGCCACTTTTGAAATTTCGAATCAGACGAAACATTTTTGGTTATCCTTATCTGCCTCCAAATCAACCCAGTATTATTTCGGGCTGTTTTATCCCCTCCCCCCGCAATCAGTCATACTCGGGCGAGATGGCTCAGTGGTTCGAACCCGATCTCTGCCCTCTCGATTTCCCCTGTCTAGGCTTGGGCTACCTGGCAGTCACAATCAACTACCAAACCTAAATTTTATGCATTGTCAGATGTGATATAGACTAGTTTGCCATTTTCCCGTTTCCGGTAAGATTTGAGTTGCAATCACGACCTGATTTGGCCTGCATCAAGTGGTAGATCTTCCAGTACCCTCAATGTGAAACGTATGTTGTACATCCCACTGATGTAGTTGAAACCGCTGCACATTATAACAAGTTACTAAGCAGGTACCAAACATCTGTTTAGTCTGCTTGTTTTGTCAGTTTAGTTTGGCCTGTTTTTTTGTTCTGACATCCGTGTCACTGTCTGTTCGGCTGGAAGATATTTCTTCCATTGTATATGTCACAAACCTGTAAAACGTCTCTCAGAATACTTTAACCGCGAGGAGAGCAACGATCTTGGTATCAGTTGGACAAACTGTGAGCAGTCTGGCCTGTGACAACCTCACTTTGTTTTCGTACTAATGGTCGTGCAACAGGGGTATCCAAATATGGCTCTACTATTTCAGATGCGGATTCAGAGACGCAGTCAATGTTTGCTACCTGATAGGATCCTAACCAAATCAGTAATTACCATGTACATATAAGTTCACTTGGGATTTTGTTTCACTCCCAATCTAAAGTTTCGCTGTATCCTTTACTTTACGGGTCTGCGTCGTACGTTCTCGGTACTTCAGGTGTCATCTGGTTGGATGTCGGATCATTGAAGTCTCCACCACATTCCCCAGCAACGGCAGCCAATGCACCGTTCTCACTCACTACACAACTCATCTCTCTTGTTGACCGACTTGAACGTAAACTTTCTCCCTCTAATCGATATTCTGACGAGTTCCGTCAAATACAGAATACTCCTCCCAGATCCTTCAGTCCTCCATCTGTTGCACCAAATATTTCATCGTCGTCGACGCTTGACGAGTCCTTGGATCGTCTGAGGAGGGCGCTAATGCGGCGACAAAAACGAGCAACTTGGGGACCAGATGAAGAAGAATACTCCACGTCGTTATTACTGATTGTCTTGGATGACGTTTGGGACGTTCAAGTAGGACGTGCTCTTAGCAACATGCCAGCTGCTTTTCTGGTGACATCTAGAGATCGAAGTGTACTACAGCACGTTGAAACTCCCGTAGAACGGGTAAGTGTCTCACCTCTCACTAGGATTTCAAACGCCTCTGTACATCGTTCACTCTTTGTGCTCCACAGGCTTAACACTTGCTATTTGAATTTATTCCTTCATACATTATTACTTATGTGTTCGATGGAAACCCTTCGACAGTGCACTGTTGGGTGGACTGTGCCTAGTCATGTTATCATATCACATTCCAAATTACCTGCAGTTTGTACAGTGAAAACTCATGACATATTGGGGAAACCCATGACAGTTAGTTGGTAATTTATCTCATGCCACGTTTGCAAGAGCCTGATAACTGGTGTCAACGCCTAAGTGGTCCGCAGTTTGGATGAGCCTAAACATTCTTTGGCAATTTTTTACTTCCGCAAGATTATGACACAAATTTTTGACCGGATTGCCCATTTTTCCGAGTCCGTTCACACCATCGCACGGACATTATTTATGCTTGGTAAGCGTAGGTAACTGCACTCCTCATCAGTTGCTTTTCTCAATCTATTCATTTCTGATTCCTTTTTGGCTTTTTTTGGAATTCGGTGCCTGCCATGCCACCAGAGGAAAGCACGAGGGCTGGTATAATGCCAGGTTGCCCAAGCCTAGACAGGGGAAGTCGAGTGGCAGAGGTCGGGTTCGAACCACGGACCTTCCGGTCAGTAAATTCGTGCTCTAACCACTTGGTCCATCTCGCCCAATTGGAATTAGGATATTTACGCTGTTCGGATGAGGATCTATATTAAAAATTTCCTCACTTGTTTGGTTGAAAGTCACTAATCCCGAAGCCACTAATCCCGCAGCGCCTAGACCCAAAACAGAGCTCAACAAAACACTGACAGGCAATTGTTGCATTCGGCATCATCAACATCCGCTTTCCAGTCATATATCCTTTGCGAGTTGATCACGTTAATAGTAAGGGAACACCACCCTTTCGCTTTATCCTTTAAAAGACACCAATGATTATCACCAATGACAGTGGCGCACAAAAGTCCGAATGGTCATCTTACATCCACTCATCTTTTGCTACTCCATGCTCGCGAATTTCATATTGTTTCGTCAATGGTTTTCGTTAGATTAACTCTTTTCTTGCGTTTCATAGGAGATTGTTTTTTGCTGTAGACGGGTCCAACACTTCATGACTGCCAGGTTTTGTTTGCGCCTTTTGAAATTTCCCCTAGTGTAATTTGGGCACGAAAACGTGTCCCTCCTATATCTCAAAGTCTAATGGTCTGCCTACCTGCTGCTTAGTGTCAAGGTTGGATTTAGACCAAGTGAACTTGGATCTGTCATTCTGGGAATCCGATCACCTATCAAAGCATATTACTTTTTCATATTTCAGTTTTCCTTGTACGAGGGACTCCTTGAGGATGAGGTTGCAGAATTGCTTTCGAATTGGACTGACTTACCTGTGAATCGTTTTCTACCCCCGCCGGTCAGTACGCACATTGTTCACGACCCCGGACATTCAAGTCTGTACCATCTTGCCCGACAGTGTCACGGATCCCCATTTGCGGTCATGTTGCTGGGTTATCTACTTCGTGAACAGTACCATCGTCTTTCCGACTACATGCACGACCCTACAGGCTGTGGTGTACCCGTTCTCAACTGGGCCATGATCCGCCGTCCAAGTGCATACGGTTACGAGACACTATTCGCGGTAAGATCACCGGAGTTTGCCAATGGTTTTGTGGTGTCCTTCTGATTTTGGTACATCTGCGTTCGAAGACGAATAAGATGTTTTGGTTTTCGAATGCCGCGCGTTATTCAAGCTAATTGTGTGGTAGCCCGTTGTATGGCCACTCACAGTTTTTCTGCCACTGCCATCTCGACAGCCGTCTTGTTACATTGACTAGGAACCAGTTATTATGCATTACCTCTTGATAGTTTTGCGCGATCGACCTCGGAGAATCGTGAATCGGCGGCCTGTGGTGCGGCACGCGTGACTCTCTGTCTTCGCTGTGATAGCCTGGATTTTACGTCAACTACTTGGTACTCGCATCCCAACCATGTCCAAATGTCCTACAAGGGATTTAACCTTTGGACTTCTTGACGGCTAACCCAGTTAGGAAATAAGTATCCGTGCTTTGACTGGTCCGACAGTATACCTCATCGATTGAACCATGAAATAACATTCCAACAAATTCGTTTTTTCTGTATCTATATCCAATTACTTGTTTGCCCCCTAAACTGAAATCCCATCTACAGTTTACGTCAAGCTCTTTGAATCAATTTCTTTTTAGATCAGAATATTAGCTTCAGTTGAACTTCAAAAAATCCCCAGCTGGGGTCACAGCTCAGATGCATATGCATCTCAGTTCATTCCTTCAATGCCTTTCTCGCCAGTCAGTGCTAAAAGTTTGACCCTTTTGAAGACGTTGAATACAGCTGTCTCATTTTCCGAGAGTCGTCACTGTTCCAACAACTTTCCTGATACTACTTTCCACCTGTGAAACTCCCAACTACGGATCCATGAAGCTGTTCATGCTTGACAGCGTCCTCACTGTGGAACATCCTGTTGGCATGTCTCGGAATCGAGCTACTGTTTTAGTTTGTTACACCAACCCTGAACCAACTGACGGTCAAAACGTTTGACGGCTGCGCTCATCCACACTCATGCTTTACAGGTTTCACCTGCTTGTTCGAATGGCACAACTGCTTCCTAATAGGTGGCATATTTGAGACTTCGGGAATCTAGGTTCGAAATGTTTCAGCGGCAGTAACCCTACGGGGACGAGCACAAATACCTCTGTACGTCAGGTCAGCGTTATTTCTCTTTTGATTGTAGTTATTTGAGTTTTCTTCTCTTTGTGTATTACCCAATAAACTTATCAGAAAACGCGTCATTCCCCAGAACTTTCTAGTCTGTCCTCAGAGCAGATTTATGGTGGGCACGTATCAGATTTCGTCTCCATTTTACTATAGTGATTCGAGTTAAGTTTATCGATTATCAGGACCACGTGGAATCACGGTATAGAAATTCTCGGGGAACCGTTCTAACGTCGCCGAAGACCAAATTGAAAAGAACGGGTAGTTGATTCGCTTGAGGTGTAATAAATGGAGGGATGAGCCCAATTGGATTGCGGTTAGAAAGAATCTATTTTGTTTCAGGCCGTTTCATTTTTATTTGGCCATATTCTGCTGTGGAGTCATTCCGTTCTCGTTATGTTTCAATACCAGTGGTGATTACAAAATGCTATCTCTGTCTCTTTTTATTTTTCCTGAAGGCTATTGACAAAAGTTTGATTCATCTCTCTCCGGAATGTCAGGATTTTTACCGTCAGCTCGTTATTTTCGATTCGAACATTGTGCTCACTCCCAAGGTAAGTTTGTTGTTCATCCTTGCTTAGGGCTAATGCGAGTCACAAGCTGCTAGCCACAAGTTATGAGGTTGGAATCCATTCACTGGCTTAGGTAACCTGATGACATCTTAGCTTTCATATTTTCTTCGTAAATGTTGCTAGCCGCAAGCAGACAACCATTTGTATGTATAACACGCGAGTTTATATCGATACTTTATCCTTATATGTCATGTTTCTGATTTAATAGGTTGAAGAATAAGGCATATTGCTTCTTCCTGGCAACAGATGAACATCCACAGAGTCCCCGAGTACTAGTTATTCTGTTCAAAGTGTCGGCACTTCGGTTTAGCGGTAGAGTATCAGTTCATTCACCGCCAGTTCTATGGGTTTGCAATCAGTATTCTATCAGAGTTAGAGAATGGTATCCCTGTCTAGGCTCAAGCAACCTGGCAGTATCCCAGCCCTCGTGCTTCCTTCGGGTGGCATGGCAGCTAGGCTCCGAAAGGGTGTTACAGTTGAACGATCACTATTATTTTATTTAGAGAGTGTTATAAAGGTAATTAAGTTCCTACACAGTCCATTTGTCGGGACACTCGTACATTAATCAAACTGTACGTTTGTCTTCACTGGCTAACCAGTCATAAATTTGCCAGTCGTTGAATAGGCTCTTCAGCCCCTCCAATCGGAGGAAGTGGACCATCATCCGTGAGTATGTACTATTTCGTGATGTTGATTGTAATGCCGACGTATGTCGCCCTTTCCATATTATGACACTTTTGTTCCAAGGTTGCCGGCATACTGTGGGATACTACTGATGACAATGCGGAGCGTATCCTAGGAGAATTCGTCCGATTCTCTTTGGCCATCCGGTTGTGGGTTCAGTATTCCGATTGTTTCGGATACCTTATCCCCTCAATACAACTGGACCTGCTGAAGATATCCACAAACATGATCAAGCAAGCAGTGAGTTTCCATTGTTTATCTTCTACCCCTTCATCAGCGACACCTGATCAAACAATCCGGATTTTGGATATTTTGACCTCAACACGCCATCTCTCTCTCTATCTCAACAGTAAACAACCTTAGAAACAATAGTGCGTGTCGGGCCGATTTGCCTGTAACCCTTACCCTCACCGTTGCAAATGAACAAATCTGCTCATTTGATTTTGCTTTCATGGACCCAAGATTCCCTACGTCCAGAGAGGCACGACACTACTGTTATTAGTTATCGTTGGCTCCTATCCATTGAATGTTGGTGGCAGGTGAAGTGACTTAATGTCAGTCATATCCCATTTCTCGATAGAAACTCAAAGGACTTCCGGGCACACAAACGGACGTCTGTTGGATGGCTTTTTGAGAAATATATGCTTAATACTATTCTTGTTTCAAACAGCTTAGGTTCTCCGTAAAGCAGTAGTTATCGGTAATCATAGTTACTAAGAGGGACAAAGTTAGTATTACTCCTGTCTTTGGATGAGAACCTAGCTGGAAGTCCATGACTGGTCTGGGAGCTGCTATTTTTTCTCCGGCCAGAGTAAAATAGACTAGTCGCCCTTTTACTTTCCCGTTTACCTTTATCTTTTATTTAGTTTAACAGTAGTCGCGTAAGCACTTTCCTTTTGGGTTTCTACTGTGCATCTCTTTGATAGTTGACCAAATTTGGGTCATAGGTGCGGACGTATGCTACCGTTTGTCGATCAATCAATCTGCGCTACAAAATGGCTGATGAATTCTTCACTGGATCCTTGATTGGGTTCAGGTCTCGGAACTAAGATTTCCTGACCAGAGGATGAATTATCCCACGAGGTTGAAGTTTGCGCCTCTGGTCACGCTAGGGTATAATCTCAAGACAGGACTTCCAATTGAGTTCTCGCCGTTTTGGTCACAGTTGTTCTCACTGGAAAGGTGTCCAGCCTTCAGTGATTTTATACATAATTCAGCCAAACATTTTGTAAAGCGTAGAGTGATACCACAAGGTTGGAAGGGATCAAATGGATGTCTCGTGCGTTCAACAGAGCCGATTTTTGAGATTGACAAATTTTTATTTGTCTATATGGTCACCTCACTCCCTGGTCTACCACGGAATTTACTCTCACACGAAATGTTACGGGATGCTTTGGCCAACCGACGCCAATTCAGCTTGCGTGTTAAGAGTCAAAGCACTCCAGTGTACACTGTGCTGCCATATGGGTCAAGGTGCGGAGCTCTGCGTGCCGAGGAGAGTGAATCTCTGAGACGTTCTGAGATTCTGATGGAAACATCCGGTTATCAAAGCTCAGCAGTGTCGTATCATTTTTGCAGAACAGATTTCATACGCGACAGATTGTGCTGGCTTCGATGACCACCGGAATGACTTGCCCGGGAGCCCTTCTCACCCAGCTATTTGTTCGTATTTGTGTGCTGTTTAAGGTAAATAATAGTTCGGCAGGGGCACATGTACGTCATAATGAGGAAACATCCACAGTATTGAATGTTGTTTTTCTTAGAAGCGGGTCTTGACATATCATTGGTTAGACATACTGACAGACAGTGCACAGTCGAGTGCCCGCTGAATACCGCAATTAATGGCTGCTCTGTTTTGATCTTCACACCTTTAATACACCATGTCCACTGTGTGGTCACTGCTGTTGACTATCCAAAGATTTCAGTCTTCATCTCCAGTGTGCAGCTTCACTCGCGTTTCCAACAACGGTGGGTTCAACTGTGGCAGATAGAACGACTGCACAACATGTATAAGGTTCATACCAGGAGACTAAGAGAATCTACAACTAAGCTGGAGCCATGCTGTTTTCGAAGGCACCCTCGTCAGGGATCCTTGTAACGTTTTTGTATCGCGCATCTGCCATATTCACCGGTAAAAAATATCAGAGCTGAGATTTAGTTGAACTGGGAATTGGAGCAGTTGAGGCAAATCCAAGCCAAAATGATGCTAGACTTCACAAGACCGTGACAGCTGGCTGTTAGTTTGTTCACCGCGCTGCGCAATCCGATTGCAAACTTTTTATCGCCAGTTAAAGTAACATCATCAGTTCGTTTTGAATGGTAATGCCTTATGGTCAGAAGTGCCAGTCTTAGCACACTTCCACTCACAACACACGGGCGAGATGGCCCAAGCGGTTAGAGCGCGAATTTACGGACCGGAAGGTCCGTGGTTCGAATCCGACCTCCGCCTCTCGAATTTCCCTGTCTAGGCTTGGGCAACTTGGCAGTATCCCAGCGATGGTGCTTCCTTCGTGTGGCATGGCAGCTAGGCACCGGAAGGGTGCTACAGCTGAACGCTTTTTTACAACGCGCGGATGATGTCACTGCAACTGGTAATGAAACGTTTACAACCAGAATGCCCAGCTCAGCGAACATACCACTGGCCATTATTGCAATTTGAGCTGCCAATATTCTCTCCGGTCGCGAAGCCTCGACAGGTGGTGAGATCGTTGCAACAGATAAGCTGAGCAGCTGGCATCGACGAAGTGGATACGGATCCTGTTAGAATTGACCGGATAGGTTCATGTATAGCTGAAGGCGCTTGTCATTGCCGTGCAGCATTTAGCTCAAAACCTCTGTGCTTTGTCATTCGGCCTATTCCTATTTCATCGTCTCTCCAGATTCGTTTGTAGGCTACATGGTTCCAGCAAAAAAAACTTGGCACCTCTTCTGCTGTTTCATCTGTCAGCTCTACTCTCATACTTCGACTTTTGTCACAATCCGTTCCTCTCACACAGGCATATCACGCTCAGTTTTTCAATAACTATGAGAAGTACTGCTCCCGTCGTTGGTGGCATCTCGTTTCCACAGGGGAGCACATTTATTTCTGGCATCAGGCCACTGAGCACGTGTACAAATCTGGACGTTTGGACAAGCTGGTAGATTTGATGACCAACTTGGAGTTCCTGCGGGGTCGTCTAGCTGTGGTCGGTGCGAGTCCAATCATTGCAGAATTCGATCGATATCGGGCGGTGTTTTTCACTTTGGATCGTATGGATGATTGGTGAGTAAATTCCATGACAGTTCCTCGGTAGTATTACTTGCAGGTGTATGTACACTCACACTTATAAGGTTACCCCCTCATCCTCCTCAGTCGAATAGTTTTGATTTCCGCAAGCCCTAAGGCCGATTCTTTTCGTAACCTCCATTGATTTTGAGGATCACTAAGATTAGTAGATCAGATAATGTCAGCTAGGGTTCCCTGAGTCTTATCAAGTTAATTACAATCGGCCGTGCAAAAGAGCCAACGCAACTAATCAGGTTGACCACTATTCATAGATAAGGGGTTTTATTGCTGTGAACAGCAGAACTCCATGAACTTGAAAACACAGTCACATCATTGCCTACTAATCTGCTTCCTGCATACTCAATTAACAAAAAATGTTGTCAACCATGACTGATCCTGTGTTTCCTGTTCATCATATATACTTGGTGAAGCGTTACACAATGGTTTCATGTTTAATTAATAGTCCGGAATCAACGGGCTTCATCGTACTGCTAAATGCTCATAAGCTGTGCCTAAAAATCGGTGATGTGCAAGCTATGTTGGTGTGCTGGTTCACTTCACCAGACCGCCTACGCACCATTACTCACTATTCAGTGGATCACGAACACAGTTTGTTCTAATTAATCGACAGTAATCACATGGCTGTCTTGCCGAATTAATAATGTTTCCCGGTAACAGAGAACTTTGACCAGGGTTTTCGTATCAGGGATTGACAAGGGTTAGATTAACACAAAAAGTCGCCAATAGAATTCCATTGTGAATAGTTAGGTGACCGAGTGCTGTTCAAGAAGCTTGTTGTATCCGGAGGATAGTTGTGCCAACCCACCAACCTATCCCTGCGCACCACTATGCTCGCTACCAGCGCACTGATGATATCACCTCGATTGGTGTTGAAACGTTTGCAATCAAATTGCCCAACTCAGTGAACAAACCAACAACCATTTTTTGCCATAGTGCTGATACCCACTAATGCTGTATTACTGCTGATGTTGTGGTGATGGTGATGGGTACTAATTAAAGTCACGGCCGTCTCCTCGATACAGAAAACCGATGGTATAGCAGCCCTGTAAAGGACCGAACGTTCTTTTCACCCTCTTCTGTTGTGGTGATGGTGATGGGTACGACCGTCTCCTCGATACAGAAAACCGATGGTATAGCAGCCCTGTAAAGGACCGAACGTTCTTTTTCACCCTCTTCGGAACAACAGCGCAGCCCAAGCAGATCACCGGAGGTCCTTTCAAAAGGAGCACAAGGCCCGATTAAATGTTATACCACGTTCCAACCATACTAAGACTTTGGAGTCTCATTTACATTCAGTTACGGAATAGACAGTCGACAGACTCCTTGAATTCAAAACATGATGCCGAGACTGAAGAACTTATCATTACCGAACGTTTATGCGAGGCTATAGTCCACATCCTTCAAGCCGTTTTCTCCATCTCCGTATGTTGGATAGGTAATCCCATTACATGTAATGCAGACGTAGAAGGGAGTGTTTGGAGGATGCAAGTGGGCCCTGAATCTCTTGCTTGTTGGACAGGTGTTCCACGAGTTGCGCTATCAAGTGCGCCCCACTTAGATCTTGCGGCACCTTCTAGTGAATACCCATTGCCAGTATGTTCATTTCACCGGCAACCAAAAACCACCATTTTTGCGCGAGATTCCTTATGTCCAGACCGCCGATCATTCCCGTGATCTCTAGTGTTCACCTTCGAGGAATCTCTTAGCAGTTCCAAGGTGGAAGTCCGGTAGTTTTCGCGGTAGTTTATCTTAGTGAAGGGTCTCAGGTTCGATTCCCACCCTTTTCCATCCATTTCATCCCTCTACCAACACAAGTTTGTCGTTCCGACAGAAGAGCATCAACTTTGCTGAGTTTGGATATTCTTTGTATTAGCCTAATAGATGATTTAGGAAAATGGCGAGAAACTTTTAGTTTGTGTCCAGTCTTATTAGTGGTTGGCTGGAGAAAGTAATCGGCTTTTTCTATGTTTTCGTCCTTGTCGCAGTATGATTTTGGGTGGTGTGGAAACTCTAAATGGTGAACTTCTTACCTCCAAATGATCGCCATAATATATCTCGTTTTTAGCAATCTTCTAGTAGCATGCACCATAAAAGTAGTAAGAAGGAAGCACTGCATTTTTTCTCGTTGCGTTTAAAAATATTGATTCACCGAACACAAGCATTCTACACACCCTACATGCCGTGGACTAGTACTACATTGTAGCTTCCTGGAATTAGGGTTGAGCAAATAACTGAACGTTGTGCGCATGAAACTGAAAGTCCCCTATTCTCTGATTGTTGCTCAACCATGCATTCTTGTCCATGTTCTTCCGGTTCCGGTCTTTTTGTTTTCATTTCCCTCCTTTTCATCTTCATGAATGGAGTCAATTCCGGCCATTTTCCACTCTTTTTGCATTGTTGTCCGATTTTTACGTAAACGTTTTCATGAACGTTAACCATGTACGGTGGTTGGTAACCTTCCCTTTACTTGGTGAGAGTGTGGGAGATGAAAACTTGTGCATTTGATGATGTATGTAAAGGATGAAATAGCACTTCCCCAGGGCTGCTGCCCTGTGTATGTTCTCAGATGCCTGTATGTCTGTGGTTGTGTAACTCGGCCGCATCTCTCGGTTTTTGAAAACATTGGTGGTCTCTACACAGGAAAATGGCAATTGCTAACACTACTGCATTTATTCTCCCTGTGTTTCACGGTTTAACCTCACCACGACCGTTTCCACTCCATATTTGGTTGGTTGAAAAATATTTTCCGGGAAAGTCGATAAACCTTGTTAAGACATCGTAATTAAGGGTAGATCGTAATTGGTTGATTGTGAGTGACTTTTTGCACAAGCCTAGTCCATTATTTTTTTCGGCCGGGCAATTATTCGTAAAGACGAATGGGCGGATTTCTGGAAGCTTGATTTGTAAAACGGTGGAGAGCGTATTATAGCATTGTAGACGGGTTTTTGATAACGGATAGTATCACCTCGACTGGTGACAAGGTGCCAAGCTAGCCGAATAGACTAGTGGCCACCTGATCAACCGGTGGTGTGGGCACCCGAACTACAAATATACCGGTACCTTTCCAACAGTATTGTAAGACCTACTCGGTGAACGTATACCGATACAGGCTCTTGATCGAGCTCATCTAGGACTTCGGTAATCTGAATCAAGTTCAACTAATCTAACATTAATACTTTACCAAACTGCCTTTCTCACATGCTGTTCAGCTGTTATGTTTGTATTTGTGTCTTCCACTCTTCTTCCATCTAGGCACGCATACTTGCGCTTCATTCAAACTAACGCTTACTTTGTCATCGACCCCAACTCCTCACGGCCTACAATGAGAGGGCGTTCACCGTACCGGAAAGACACCCGTTCGGCTTCTCAATGGAGCCTAGAGTCCTCTTCTCCAGTTCTCCAGACTGACTCAGTTCGTGGGCCTTATCAAGTGAAAAAAACGGAGACCACAGCGGCCGCCCGACCGGCTGCCTCACAAGCTCCCAAAGGACTTGATTTGATACAGTTGGGTCTTGGACTACCTCAGAACAGTCCGGTCTTTCAGCAAGCAGTCTCCTGGCTACTGAGGCAGCACCAACTAGCAGATGGAAAGTGGACGGAAAATGGTGATGCGACTCCCACGGACCTAAGCACATCATCCTTCAAGCAATCTCTTGTTTCCGAGTATTACTGGTTCTGGTGGTGAGTCCGCTACAGATTTCACATCCCCCCACCGATATCACAAATGTTTGCTTCAGACAAGTTGTTTTGGTCTGTCTGGTAAACATCTATTGATGTTGTCTTTTTGGCTAGAAGTCTTCTTGAGGATGGTTTTGAAAGTGTCTGGGTAAGCCAACTGTTGCCGATTAGTCAGTCCTGCTTCTGAGAACCTTCATTCTTTTTCGAAGTTTATCCTAAACAACTCGGTTTCTTCCCCTAGATCTTTATATCTTCATTCCTTATTTTTCTCGTCGGAAGATGACCTCGTAAAACTTGAGGTGAATGAGACAAATGCGGCTGTGGATGGCCACACTGAGGCTGGCATTAGGGTTCCAATGCTATAAAGTGCTTGTAGTTCTCTTACAGCCAGCTGTTGTTTTTGAACGTCTTCTTCCCCTGTCCACGTATCCTTAATCCCGAAATTATCTGACCTATAGTGGCCTATTCAATGGATTTATGCGAACTCTCGCACACATTCAATGGTTCGCATGAATATCACGCAGCTTGCTATGGAATGCCAGGACTAGCCACAAAAAATAAACCTCTCCCATTATTAACCACTGAAGTACACCATCCTTGTCGATTTTTAATCAAAGTTTCGTGGAAATTTCCGTCTAATTTCTCCCATCATTCTGTTATTCTCTTATTCAGTTCCTCAATCATGTGTAAGTTACAAGTACTACACCCGTTTTGCCATGAGTGTGTGGGTTCCAATTTGGAATATTGACGGGTTTGTGACAGCGTCATCATGTCGGAAAAGCTAATCAGTCGGAATTTCCGACAAGCCTGGGAGGTCGTAGTTATTCAGTCTGCCCTGCGTCGACCATCGCTCGGTGGTACCTCTCTACTACGAAAATTGCTCCCCAAAGCACCACATCGGCAACCTGGTGGCTTCAGTCATTGCAACTCCATGATCGAAAAGACTAAACAATACTACTCAAGTGTCAAGCTATCATGAAACATTGTGTTGTAAAAAGTGGAGTGAAGAGAGTGAGGACTCCATACGAATAGTGTTTTCTTGGTAACAGTGAGCAGAAACAGGCTTCCTTCACCTTCGCCAAACATTGAAACTAACACATCATGTGGGCCAAAATGTCATGAACATGCAGCGACAAACAAAATTTGACTGCGCAGTCCCTCTAGGGAGTGTGCGTGCCACTTGGATCGGTTACGCCCCAAGCCCTCTACGATTTCCACTCACGTAATGTGGAAACCACCCAGGCCCCAACAAGGAAGCTGAGAAGATTCTACAGCGATTAATGTGACAACAACCCTTCTCATTTCGCCTTGTCATGTTCTGCGAATCTGTCAACAACAGAGCTTTGGAACAAAAGCACTGTGCTATGAAGGCGTCGATGATTAGACGTTTGAAAAGATTTAGAATCGGTGGGACCGAGTTTCCCGGTTACCTCGCTAACATGACTCTTTGGCTTCGGTGAAACTCATTTTTGACACCGCAAGCGACAAAAGTTGGCAACTGCTGCTCGTGTCTTGATAAGTCATTTGCCACAATCCATGCAGCTGCCCAGATGAGTGAGCCTATCAACGAGGTTATGCCTTTCCCTTGAGGTTTCGGAGTGACACAGCAAGATGGAACATTTTGGAGAAAAAATTAAATTCTGAAAGTGTGGAACATGCACCAAAACAAGAGATCACTTATAATATTCTGTCTACAGTGCACTGTGTAACTGACAACACAGTGTCGTCTGCATGGTTCAATTCTGTATATTTCACTCCAGATATCATTTTGATTCCAAGATTCCCTGTTTCTTGGTATGTGCATTCCATGATGATGTCAGTGACAAATTTAGAGATAAGGAGGGAAGGGACATCTTGTACGAACCCCCATGTAGTTGATGGAAAACTTTCGAACGGTTCATTGTGAACGTTTACGAGGTCACTAAAGAGTATGCCAAACCATATGGACCATGCAAACTATATCTCCCACCATCATTACCCCACGTTGTTCCAAGTGTTGTGGCCTTCCTACTGCTTGATTCTCCGCTGCATGTGAATTGCATTCACACATTGGATACCCGGTTCTCATTCATTTGAAATAAGGGACAGGTTGATGTATTTGCTGTACTCTCATTGGACTGATAACGCCTTCCACCTTCTCGTGAACCTCGACAGTCATCCGCTTTTCCCGACATTTATGTTCTGATTATGCATGACCTAGTCAAGCCTTACGTCTTTGGGTTACCAATGAAGGTACCAACTGTTGCTTTTGACCTATTCAGTCTAGTTTAACTTCGCCTGCTACCCACTCATAGCTTTTTACGTCGATGTGTTTCTCTGTTCAGTCTTCGACAATGATGATGTACGTGCCATTCTTCAACGAGTATGACTGTACTGTCGATCAGCTATTCTTGAGTGCATATCTCGAACACCATTCACGATCGAATACAGAGCATATATGACCTTGAAAGTTGCTGATTTAAATAAGTCTGTCTCTGTGTATTACTAATGGTAGCCTACCGCATCCGTAGCCCTGTTGCGGTTATGTTAGCATTTCGCTTAATTACAGAATATTGGGTGATATTTTGGCGTTTTTGCGTTGTAACTTAATTCTTACATGTTCAGTGGGTGTCTGTGCTTGGACGGACTCATTGATTGGCTTATAGATCCCAAGTTTGCGGGAGCCCGGGATCCAAAAAAATGAGTATTGTGTGCATGAGATAAGCACCGAAGTTCTCAATATGTTAGGTTATTTGCCCAAGGTTGACTAAAAGTTTGGTTAGCCCAAAAACACTGTCGCTCTTTCCGAGGCTGGTTGGCTTGCTTTAGTTCTCGGTTTGTAATCAATCTTATTTCGTACTTAAATACCGAATTGGACGTTTGCACAGTGCATTCAGACAGAGAATATTCCCAACGGGCTACTCAGCTGTGATTCAACTGAGTCTTCTGTGGACATCAACTTGGTCTGTACAGGTCAGGTCAGGTCAATGTCACTTCGGGGAACAGGCCCATCTGATGAGTCCTAGGAAGGACAAAACCGGTAGTCAGCTCCCCAAGACTTTTTATCGTATTGTCATATCTTTGAAATTTTATGTAGAGGAGAACAATAGAGAGAGAAGTGGCGAGGGCCTGTCGCTAGTGTACTGGAAGGGCGATAATGTGCCAGGATTCAAAAATTTAGTCGACTAACCTGGAAATTTGCAGGATAAATGCCTGTACCATCATTGGGTTGCGATACTTTACGGAGTCTTCAGCAATTCACACACTAGTCGCATTAGTTCCCTTCTGGAAGAAGCATCATACTATAGAATCCAGCCTTTTTAGGCATTTTCATAGTCTAGTCCAAACGATTCACATATTTGATATTCATGGACCAACTTCAGCATGCCGAGTATATCTAACGCGTTTCGTTCACTCTATGTGCCAGTTTATAAACTTTGTGAAAGAATTGATGCCTATGAAGCTTTTGCGGCTTAGAGAGATATCGCGGATGTTTTGTTTTCAATTACGTTTTGACGGGTCCCTTAGCCGAAATGAGCTTTGGTCTCGATAGAATTGATCGGCACGTGCTCCAGTCACAACAAACGCGGGTGTTCGGAAACTGTGCCGGAAAGGTAAACTTAATAGATCACGTTTGTGTGCGGTCACAAATTTATGATCTCTAATCGAACACTAGACCACCATCACTCTCCATCACATCAGAGATCCGTTCCCAAACCTTGTGTGATAAATTTTATCGATAATATTTCTATGCACTGTTTCTGTCCTTCGTGTCATGTGTGAAGTTTTCACGGCAGAATCTTCACTTCCACACCTACTGAGCTTCTCTTTTTGATATGTGATAGACGTCCCAAGCGCCAGTTACTGGCCAGGCAGCTGATCCAAAATGTCTCGCAAGAACGAATCGGCTTTTGTGTACAAGCCTAAGTGTATCTCACTGCTCAACTTAATTACAACTTAGAGCTTCCGATCGAGTTTCGAGTCTCTTCTGCCTTTGTGATTTCTTTTGTTCGAATCTGAGAAACCTGGAAATACTCCAGCCTTTCTCCCTTTGTGTCTGTTCCAAACGAATGCTCCCTGGTTTCCTTTACTCCATGTAACACCCAGCGCTACCGAGGTGTACTTTCGATGTTGTGCCTCCTTGAAAAGACCATCTCCAGAACAACTCACTTTTCAGAATAGACAACTTGGTTGAGAGGGACAACGTTGTAGAGTTACCGTGATCGCCGATTTGCAAAGGTTTTTACTACGGCTTTCTTCCATTTAGAAAGAAGCGAATTTGAGAAAGCTCCGGGTTTCATGGGATTCATGGTGTCTGGCACTGTGCATTTTTCATGTTACGGTATCTCGATGTCTGACTGAGAGTCTTGATATATCCTGGTAGAAATCTCCAATAAGAATTAAGGTACACTTTGATGTGAAGTTAATCTATCCTAAAGAGTATGTGGTTCTCGGTGTTGTGTTCACATGAATTACACGCCCTTTGGGACATTTCAAATTTGGATTGCCACCGAAATATATGACCGCCGGTCGTAACTTAAAGCTCTGGTTGCCACTTCGCCCCTCCTTGTTTTTACGCACATTTGTTCGAACCATCGGCCTGATTGAGGGCAGACTAAGTTTCAACGCAATGTCGCCAGGTGTATGACATGGTGTACAGTTTTCCATTGTAAGACCCTGAATGTAGGAAAATAATGTTGTTGGTCTTATATGAACCCCCTCATTTGGTGAATTCCTAGCTGCCTGTATATATATTCATCAATAAAGATAATACCATCATCAAGCCTTCGCCACCGTCACAACTTTCCCTCCCTCGAAATCCAAGAAAGTATCTGTCCTCCAAAGCTGACCATAATTGATAAGGTGTTTACTTCAGGCAGTTCATTATGAAGCAATGCAAAATGAATGCAGCTACCACCGGTCAGTGGGCCCTCGGGTCTTTCTGGATGGTCGTTCTTTCTAAACCATTTAGTTCCACTCACAGCGGGCGAGATTTTAGCTGTTCAAGGAGGAATGAATTGTACTAGTTTGGAATATATATAGTTGGTTATTTCGCTTCCCTTTACACGGTATTCATGTTTACTCATTGCGTATTGATTGTTCTTGCCTTACAATTTATTTGGTCCCGCCGTCATTCCATCCCATGATGACGAGTCTATTGGATCACGTATGGTTAAGACGGACAGTGTTGCGCACCGATTTAAGCTCCAGATATCCTCATTAGTTCGAAGAGTCGCAGCCGAATGGAATTCCGGATCCATTTCACCTAACTGTGTAAAAAATGTGCGTGAGTATCGACGTAATACACTACTCATAAGGTTGCTGACTGGTTTCACCCTTCTTGGGGCTCATCAGGTAGGCGCAGTTCCCGCCAACCTTATGTTCTACTTAATCTATTAATTTGATTTCCAAATTCACCTGTTGAGTCAGGCGATGCTGAACGGAAATGACCCTGAGCCATACGATAAAATGGACACATGGAACAAGAAAAGTGGAAATTCGGAAGAGTAAAATGTATTTTGCAGTGGGTCTCTAAATTCCGAGGCCCGTTTCCAGTGTGTTAGTCCACCACGATCTTGTATCCTATTATCATTCTCATCTGGTTATCTTCGTTCGTTCAAACATTTTTCTTTGAGAGGCTTGACCCGAGTTTGAAGACAACGCAAACTAGTTTCATTCATGGTTAGGTTCCCTAAATGGATGCCCCAAGCTGCCTTGGTTTCCTATTTTAACAGTTGCCTTAGTTTTTGGTCACCATTTCATGTTCACAGTTTTGAGATTGCGCTCCACCACTTTGGAATTTGAAACAACCAACCAGTTGTTACACAACACTTTACTCCATCTCCCCACACTTTTTGATTCACAGCAACAGCCACGTTGCCGCTTCACAACTGCTTTGGGCCATCCCTACAGGAACACAGGCAGTTACATGCCTGACTGTGGAATGTCCGGTTGAATCAGATGCTGATACGGACTCGCCTGCTAACCAACATGTATACAGAAACCGGTTCCTTGCTGCCACACGGGATGGGCGTGTGCTACTTTTGGACGCCGCCTCCGGTTACGAAGTTGCGGTTCAACAGGTAGCTCGGCGGTTGTTGTCCATTAGTTGTTTGTAAAACGTCACCCGCTTATCGATTTTTCTCTTGGAGTGACATTTCCACAAAACCATGGGTTTCCATCGAACAGTTTTTTTTCATATAATCTCGATGGGTATGTAAATCCTTTTTGCATCCTCATAATCAATCGTGTTCTTCCGTCGCTGCGTTAGTCTGTACCCCGAACCTCGCAATGTAGAAAAGACACCTTGATTGACATTTTCAAGGATTGTATTACCACCAAACATCCCAAGTCGGCATTCGGTTTCCGTGAATGGCAGCTAACTAGGTACACTTAGTCTATCCATACCAAATTAATCAATTATATTTTGCGGCGGTCGCCCTTTCCCCCTCCCTCAACTCCAACATGCGGTGCACCTGAAGACTGTTTGTTCCATAGCTTTCAGGGGGTTATTCCACACTATGAATAACCACACTCAGGCGTCCTGTTGGAAATGATCTTTCAGTAGTCTGTCAGGCAATGGAACATTTCTAGCCCCACACGCATAACAGCTGTTCAGCATTTACAGATAATCGATTCTGGTGCATCTCCTCGTTATCAGCCTTCCCTAAATAGTTGAGTAATATTGTACTTGGATTTCGCGACATCACTCACTCGCATCGTTCTGATCTTCTTTCAGAGATAGACACTATTCGACACCACATTACTATCATTTCAGGGGTCTCTTGCCTCGGTACAATCACTTTGGTAGGTCCACACCGAGAACAGGAGCACTGAACTCGATTACAACTGTTATTGGACTTGGAATATCGTTTGCTGTACCCGGACTTACACACCGGTCATTCGTTGCATGCACTTCAGCTACCACATTCTAGCAAGTAAATGTGTTCACCCTTGAGTTCAGTAACTTACCTTACCCGAACCAACTAAGGGAGGGACTTTCCACGGGTCATAGCTCAGGCATCCAGTTGAGCGGAACGTCCTGATAGCCGCATATCGTCCTCCGGGTGCAAAAGTTACGAGGATCAAGCGCATGTTCTCCTCATCCATTCCGTCGTAACTATATTGAAGCCTACTCAATCATCATGAGTTCTCGTCAAGCTAAACAATTTCTTGCTCTCCATGGTGTACTGGTGAGGTCCAAACCCTCTTCATGGATTTGTTTCGCTACTCTCGTTTTCGGGCCAGTATGCATGGACAAGTTCAACATTTTCTAGTACCTATTTACACTTGCTCAGCAAGGCCAATGCGATTTCTCTCAGACACATGGTGTGCCACCTTGAATAATCACCAAAGTAGATTCCATCTTGGGTACGAATCATCGTTTTAGGACATTTCTTTCTACGTTCTTGGTGATATGTATGTATCCTGTAATGGAAGCTCGTGAAAGGCGCTTTCTCTGGTGGGTTGTTGAATTTTGGTAAGCTGGTTGTACGGGAGACTACCGTATCTTCAACGCATCAGCTCTCGGCCATTCCGCCAAAACCGAGTTGATAAATGGTAACAGGAATTTACTGAATGTTCAGTCATTTGTTCACGTAAACCGGGTATCTTTTTTCGTATTACTTGGTTTGATCTAAAAAACCTGAAGCTACCTAGAAATATCACAAACGAGATATTCAGCTGGGTTCTAGGTGAGTCTCTCGCAAAACCAAATTAGTTTGCAAATGAGTGTATATTCGCTAAAACCTGAAGCTTTTTCCGGATGAGATATTGAAGCGAAATTCTTTCTGCGTTCAGTACAAGGTCGAAGTGAAGACTCCCTCCCTTCGCCATTGCAAGTAATATTGCTCTTACCGTGTGAAATGACTGCTGTCTAACAACACTCCTATGGTTTGGCCTCGACGTGTTGAGCCGCATTTCTCACAACCGGCACTCTCAAGCAAATGTTGAGGGCCGTTGTCGACATTAGCATGTCAGTGAATGTTAAATGTATCACACCAATTAACGTGACCTTTTCTGGTTATGGGGGGTTCCAGTCCACTTAATTAGCTTTAAATCTTGATCATTGTATGCTGTTGGTAGCTGTTAGAATTCAATCCATCGGGGAAGTTGGTGAGCATGATAGATATAGTCAAGTATTGGTAGTTGATGACATAATCACCTGAAACACACAGCAGTGAAGAGGATAATACGTGCATTTTCCTTAAGATAGTTTTCCGCTGCTCCAGGAAATGGAAAAATGAAGGCCGATAATCTAAAGTCCCTCGTATTTGTTGGGAAACCTCGAGTACTGTTAGCATCATCGCTGATTATGACCATGCCCTATCCAAAAACATTCTTGTTGGCTCATTTGCGATGTGTCACGCGTGTTACTAGTGGTATTCCAATGCGCCGGAGGTGATTTTGTCCACTTTTCAGTCTTGTGGAGAAGGCCTTAGTGCACCTATATTTTCAACTTTACTAAGACCAACCGGAATTTTACTTGCTTGCTCGTTTTATGCAAAAGTGGTTAGACGTTATTCCACTCACCGGACTCTGCTGCCTTCGTGATCCTTCTAAATTAGTCAAAGCATAACTGAGACCCACATTTTTTGTTGCTTGTTCTCCTAACCGTGGCCGGCTGTCCGATTGTCCAACTGGTCGCTGTCCAGCTTGAAAGGCTGTCGGATTTAGAGTTAATCGATCGTCCATCACCAACTGTTCGGGCGCGCCGCGTCCTACTTCACATTGGGCGTGGTGACCGGCGTAGTGACCTTTGATGCAGTCACGTGATTTAAATCAACCATAGCCTCTCAGTTTGCTCGAAGATGTTTTTAATCAAATCCCTAGTTATTGTTAAGTGGCTACAAGTATTCCTACATTTGCAAGCGTGTCTGCCGATTGTCCCTTTTGCTGTATGCATTGTCGGACACTATCACGAGCAATGACAAGGATGCTGTGGTCGTCATCTGTACTGTCAGAGTTCCGGTCGACTGCGGTCAATGATTTCACAGACTCTCAGCTCACCTGCGCATTACAACAAAGTTTATCTGGGTACTTCAGAATGACTATATTCCGCAGCTAGCCACTTTAGTAAAAAAATTAACGGGTTAAATAGATATTCCATCTAATGTCTTACGAGACAACTTTAGCATACAAAGGAAATTGTAGTCCCTCAATATCTGTATTATGATCAGCGGGGATCTGATTTATAGTCGTCACAGTTCTTTTCAGTTTGAAATCTGTGGTTTATATATGTTGACTTGAGTTGTTCGTGTTCAGGCTTGACGGTTAGACCCCGCTTGAGCGGCTTGGCCAGCCTATCACTTAGAACGGGCTAATGTTGAGCTCCATATAGCTCTGTCAAAACATGGGATACTGATCTAACACGGTCTTCAAGTTTTCATTGATCCACTCTACGCTTGGAAAATCTGGGGATGCCTTAGCCCTTGCGGTTCTTTCTGGTTGTGTGACAGCTGTACACCTGCCCATCAAATTTATCCATTATATCCTCATACAGTGAATTGTTTACTTTTTGTGTATACGGTATCAGAAAGTCTCATAGTGGTGGCATTATTTATTCCACTTCCTTTTCCACTCTTCCTTTCTCTAAGACATACTCAAGTGACGTGGAGGTAAAATTTGTGTCGTTCTTATCGAACAACACAGAGTGCCTGACGTGCGGGTCCAACGGGAGTTTAGTGTAAGTGATCTATTTCAGCTTTCTTCCTCGACGTATCGGGTCTATCCACCACAATATCAGTCAGTGCAATCCGTACTATTCCTCTATGGTTTCTTTCGAAGGTACTGCTGATTGCCGTAGTGGAACTGTGCTATACCCCATCTGACCGGTATAATCATATGCAATTTGTTCGAGACACGTTGTAACCACTGGATCAGTCTTATTAGAAAAAATAATACTGGTGATTAGTTTGATAGTACCCCTCAGTGAACAGACCGGTTTCCTTTGAAATGTTTGTGGAAACAATGGTATCACAGTATTTTCTGTGGCCGAGTAACTGTGAACTGGGGTTTCACACTTGAGAGACGGTTGGACTAGGCATGGACGTGAGAAACGTATCCACCAAAATGGGCGAACAATCATTGCAGTGTCAATCCATTGATCATCTCGAATTTCACAAGGTATGCTTTGTGCCGACCCACCATTGTCGTCAGATAAGTTGATTGCTTGTTCATGCCAAACAGTAATTGATATTCACAGAGATCGTGTAATCCGCAGTTTAAAATAGCGTGATAACCAGAGAATCACGTGGCCGATCTCTTCCCACAGTTGAACAACTCAACTAAAGACAACCGTCCTTGTTTAGATTTTTGTTTATCTGAGAATCAACCATATGTTAATTCCTTTTTTCGCATTTTTTTGGGGTGGGGGTGAGGCCTCAAAGCCCACCTGAACTAAAGACATAGCGCGAAGGTATCAGAAAAAGAAAGCATAAGAAATAAACGGGAGATTCTGCTGAATTTTAGTTGAATCTCCCGTTTACACCAAGTTACTTTGCAAACAAGTGTTTATTGCCTCACACGTACAGCATGACATGCAAATAGAAAATAGGGAGGCTTAAAATTCCAGGACTAGGTCAGTCGAATGGTCTCCAAGACGTGCGAAACCGATAGTGGGCTGTTTGGGGTTTCAATCGGGTATATGGATAATTTCGCGTCGGGGAAAATATCGACCCAAGTGAAATATTAGGCGCTATTTGTGCGCTATTTGTTGAAGAACACTGTTAACTGGGGACTTCTAGCTAAGTTTTCCGTTAAGGTCGGGTTAATTAGCAAATAAATGTTTATCGCCCAAATCCACGTTTCACCTTCGTTACAACTTATCAGGCTGATCAGTCGTTGGTGCTCAAGTTAACATTTCACATCTATCCGTGATACCATTTGGTTTCTGACTCGGAAATGTGCATATGCTGAAGTGATGATTTGGTTTGGCTCATTCGATGGTCGTTGAGCTTGGTAATTTTGTTGCGAGCGTTTCGTCACTACTCGAAGTAGCATCATCAGTTCGTTGTCATCGAACAGAGCGGAGCTGTGCGTTGGTCGTTTAGCGATATTTCTAGTCAGGTGAGTATTCAGTTTGACAGGTGATCAGACAGCATGGACCGAACTACTTTGGTTCGGATTTCTCATATGCACAAGTAAAGGATAATGATGCAGTGGTGTGAACAATATTACTGGTTTAAACTTGACAATTCAGGTACAGCTAGCTTCCCCCAGTGGAGTAATTTTAACAGACTCACGTATGCCATGACTAAATAGACCGACTTACAGCGAAACTTGAGCCAAGGAAGAGAGTTTGAACGATGTAATGCTGATACACATCAAACCTCGCTGCCTTTCGTGCAATTCTGGGTCGATTTAACCTGTGAAGAAGAGCATCAATATTTCTGTTTCATTTCGCGTTTCGTCCTTGCAAACTTTCTCAATACAAAATCCTAAGTTCCATCGAATGATGTATATATTTTTGGTTCTGGTTTTACGAACTGGTATCACAGATGGGCATATTTCCTCTTGATAAACCACTTTTGGGTTGTTACGTCTGCAACCTACTGTTTATTTTGGCTGTTTCGAAAATTCGGGTAATTCTGTACATTGGTAAAGTTTCAAAAGGGTGTAACCAGAGTGGTCATTTCAAGTGCTTACGTGAGACTTTCGTCTATCTACTCACCGGTTTTTGCACAGGTCACATCCAATAGCAATGTGTCAGAAAGTTTGCATTAGTTGAATGGGATTCGAAACTGGGGAAACCAAATCATGCTTTCCTGAAGTTTATAAAAACAAGTTACAAAATACCAGCGCATCAACAAATCGTGTCTCATAGTAATGCGCTTTTCTCACCTGTCACCGGGTTTCGGTCTTGCCATATTTAGTGGAACGGCACTATGCGACTGAATTCGAGCATCAGACAATTTCCTCTCTTGCTCCTAATGATTTTGTAATCCTGCATTTTTGCGTCCCAGCAATGCATACATGAATAGTTATGTGCGGATCACTGTATTGAGGCACTATGTTTGGCAAAGCTGGTTCCGGTCGTTACATTCTCAACCGACCATATACTCGGCTTTGTCTGTACGAAAGGTTTTGTTGACACTTAATCGTTAGTTTCTATTCCATATATTGTTTTTATCCATAGGCTCCTATCTCGTCGGAATAAAAACTCTGTCTGTAAAAGTAACTTCTTTACAAGATATAACACGACTGGTGCATTGTGGCATATGAGGTGTGTACATCAGTGTTTCACTTCACGCCGCTGATATGTTGGGGTTTAGAGTGAATAGTCCCTCAGTCATTATAACAGCACCAACTGGTTATTATGGTTTTTGAATTTCATTAGACCTAATGCAGGCATTTTGTCAACCGTTGGGTGGTTGAAAACATGTAATAGCTAGCCACCGATTCCGACAAATAGGACGATCAGTTTGCCTGTTTCTATAAAACGCCTTTCAAATAGGCAGAATTGATCGACTTTTCTCAGCGCACTCGGCAGTACTGTTGGAGCGTTTGGGACTATTATGCTCAGCGCACACCACGAAACCCCGATTTCTTTCACTGGACTATGCGAAACGAGACGGACATGAAGAAGTTTCCTGTTCTGCGTCAAAAGAGATCCGAGATATTACAGTAGATACCGCCTTACTGGTTCCGTGTATCTGAAGTTTATCCGGTTCTGGTAAAGTAAGAACTCGAAACTCGAATTTTCTTAGTGTTCTAGTGATAGCTGAATGAATTCTTGCATTCTGCTACTGCAGTGTATCCACACTTCCACCGCCTGAGCTGGTAGACAGAATGCACGAATCTGATGACGGACCTCGAAAGTACGTGGAAGTTAGTCCCAACGGGAATGGCTCGCCCGTACCGGAGGAGGCTGACCTAATGGGTGGTGTAGATGTGGACGAAGACGGAGATGGCAGTTTCTACGACGCCCTATCGACACGGCGCCTGAGCGCAAATGGCGCAAAAGATGCAGCGACTCTGGGTCCCAGCGAAGAAGATGACATTTCGGATGTGGCCGATGAAATCGACGTTTCCTGGCTACGTCGGCGTTCAACACTCGTAACGCAATTTAAAGTGACGGCGCCCATAGTACTTGCGGAAATTCCTCGCCTTACTGAAGTTGTTCGTGTGGATAGTGCCAATCAAGTCCCAGATGGGTCATTGGTGAGTAATTATCGTGCAAAGTTTTTTTGGTTCTTTGGCGTATTCCCCTCCCTGTTGTTCTATCCTCATTATGTGTGCTTTAATCTAATGAGTCCACCATTTGTTTTAAATAACTGAGTAACTAGTCTTGCCCTGCGTTGCGCGCTGTGGGAGGGTTCGTTTCCCTGACTTAATATAAGTTCAGACTTAGTACTGATCTGTTATCCGAGCAAGTCCGGTTGACCCTATCTTCGACCCTATCACGTGCATAAGGACCGTAACTAACTTGAAATAGGATTAAATTCGATAGGACAAACCATTCGGCTTGCGTTACGTGCACTTGGCACTTTTGTGGGCTGAAAATTCGCACTTCAACCGTCAGGGGGTTGTCAGGGTCATGTGATACATCAGCCGATTGTTCAGGTCATCTGCCTTTAACAAGCTGTCAGCTAATCTGAGCGTCGCGTCTTCATTTAAATCCATCGATTAATGTTGTACACTTCCCTTCCAATTGGGACTTGATATTTGCACTTCACTTTTAGTACAGTGGATCACCTGACCGCTCACCTGAATTCCACGCCATTTGTCTTGGTCGCCCAGTGCTTGTTGCCGCAGCATAAATGCTGGTGAACACCAGTGTGCGCGTAGGTGGAAGGAAGACAACACCGAGGAATATGGTGGATCCTGAGATCAGCCTAGAGTTAGCCTTTGAAAACGATTGGAAATTTAAAGGGTGTAGATTGATGCTGTTTGCTTTTGCGCAAATGTACGAGAATTATTGCATGTTCCCTCGTCTATAGCATGTCTCCAGCACCAGGATCGATGCGTATGGATACTACTAATGGGGCACTAGTGTTGCCCATGTTTCAAATGTTTACGAACATTTTTAGCATGGCACCCCATAGGCTCTCATTTCTTGATCGTTTGGTCTTCAGGTATTTTCTGCCAAGCGCCAAAACGCTCATACGTACCGAAATTCACCAGCCTTTGCCGAGATTTCTATGACTTGTCAACAATCTCATTTTGCATCAAAGTTTGATTATCGGTCTTCTTGGTGTTATTTTTCTTCTATACTCCTTTGTTTTCTTCAGGACTTTCAACTTATGGAATATCCCACATAAATATGTCCTCTTAGCACCCACTATATGTACCGTCAAACCAGAGCCTTGTAGATAGGTTACAACCAGCTTTTCAAATATGCGGCAATATTTGTTGAGTTTCATTTTGATTTAGCTGGAGGAGTTGCATGAATATTCAGGAAATCAAAAGTATTCCAAATGTAATTTCTTTCGGGGAAACAAGGATTGTGATTAAGTATATCATATTTACTGTCTGTACTTTATGTCAGAGATGGGCATAATCGATAAACAACGAATCACGTGGTGCGTGACGTCAGTGCTTAGATAGCCGTACCAGTCCTTCCTCCCTAGAGAATCTCATTTCTCTGACCACAATTAGCAAGAAAAATTACCACTATTTCTGACGTATGGATGACGCCATTCCAGTCGGCTCCTCCCGGCTTTAGAGAACGTAAAGTGGTCAACGTCACGACTGAAAAAAATTTTGATTTAATTTCTCTTGTAATTTAGTGGTGTCCGGATTTTCAGCGTATTGTCCCACTGTCTTCACTGGATTGCCAGGAAAAAATATGGCTCCCCCTGGGGGAATTTACTTCCTCATTTCGCGAATCCGGATTTTCAGCGTATTGTCCCACTGTCTTCACTGGATTGCCAGGAAAAAATATGGCTCGCTTGGGGGTATTGTCTTACTTCTATTCGGCAGCCCTCGTGTGTTTCTTATTCGGTTAATTTGTCCAAACGTCAGAACAATCGATTTACTGCCCCCTGGATCGCCGGAGCTGACGTCGATATTCATACGTTTTTATTGCATTACGAAGCAACCGGTACAAGCTATCAATTTGAACACGTTTAGTTAGATTTCAAATTACACCCCAATGTTTGAGATTTGTGGAACTCATATTGGCTCAGTGATAAGTGTTACTAATTTTCCGTTTTTCTACCTTCTAGAAACTCATCTCTTTTTCAGTTAGCTTGACCTGATATGAATTAATTGTAAATAAGTCGATTGCACCTGACTTCCCTAGCTACGGTAGCGTTTCACTATTACACGTACTTGACCTTGAGGCTACCATAGTAACGAGCAACGGGATATTAATCTTTCTGTCAGTTCAAAGAGTAAATGTATTAATATCCATGCTCATCTGGGTGGTTGTTAGGCCTGGGGCTTCGGGACCTAAGGTTTACTAAGGTTTTTGATATGGGAATGATTTAGAGCGTTCCACTGTTCTTCTATTCATACGTGATTTCAGTTTGTTCACAGATGCAGGTGACCAGGTGAGAAAATTCAATTAACAGAGGTGTGGCTTTTCAGCACTGTGCCGTTTCGATTGGAGTTGCTAATTTCGGCGAGCATTGTTTTTATCGGGCGAGCTGTTGCCATGAGATGACAGAAGTCTGTTATATGCTTCGTCAGAGTTTCATCACGTTCTACATTCGGTTTGAATGACTAAACTACAGAATCTGCATCTTGGTGAAAAAAGTTGGCGTGTGGCTGGGTTGTTTTCGTTTTGCCGGCTCGTGTGTTCTAGTGCATTCGGTTCGGTACAGTTGCTTAGTGCATTTGAGCCACCGACTATTGGTTGGTTGATTTTGGAATTGTTTAGTCTCACTCGGCATCCACATTATCACCGTGTGTGGCATCGAAACATCGCCCGGCGTCAGACAATACCACGTTCGATCGCAGTTCACTTAGGTAGGTACACGTCTCGTCAGCGCGGTCGGTATTTTCGTATTGCTGCTGACACAGTTGTCTGGTTTCTATTTGGATGTGAAAGAAAACTATGAAATATGTAATTCAATTGTTGTTTGACCCAATTGTGATCATTGGTTTTCAGAATGAGTACTGTGTCTATCGTATCCTATTCTTATACTTGTAAAGGTTACTGTATTTCTTAGGATAACCCTTCATGCGGTTTCACTGTTAAGCAACCTCTAACGGTCCTTATACTAAACGCGGGCTTGAAGCTTTGGAGTGGGGTCTCACTCACACTAACGTCCCATGCCTGTCCTTGCAGCATAGCGCGGGAGATTCTACGGCCCTGTGTTCTCTTCAGTGCATCTGCGCACCACCTTCCCTGGATATCGTCGTGATGAGCTGTTTTGGTATCTTGGACCTAACGATTCATCGTGCTGACGGTGCACGAAGCGGGTCCAGAAGCCAGAGTATCTCTACCCTCCCGTCTGTATACTTTCTGAAACGAACTGAGAATCACCTACACCTGGACTGTTCACGACAGCTGTCACTGCCTACGTTGCCAGCGGATTGTCCAATGTCACGGCTGCGTCGTGATTCCACGCTGCACACTATAGTGGCCGCAGTTTCTGCCGATTCACAACTTATTGCCATTGCTCTGCAAGACGGACATATATGGGTGTATAGCCTAGAACAGATCAGCTGGATCACTTGCATCTCGACTCACTTGGCCTTGGTACATGCAACCGACATGGAGCAGAACGAGAATGGCATGGTATCCGTGCTTGATGTTCGAAAGAAGGTAAGCGACAGACACTTCATTTTCACTAGACCCTGTGTTGTGCTGGGTCTTGTACGCTTGTCTAGTAGAAGATCCGCAATGCAACCAGAGTATCGGGTGGGCATAACAAAAAAACGTATCAATAGGATTAGTCTCGCCGTATTCAATTAGACCTGTCACTACTTACGCAGAATATTGTTAGGATTGAAACCCAGGAAGATACCCATTTTCCTTCTGGGTGCTAGTCTACTTGATTTAAGGCAAGTGGCTCGCCAATATCAACCGTTGGTCATCTAATAATCTCACATCTATAGTCTGCTGTTTAGAGGGAATTAACTTGTGCGCCTTCAAAAACGTGAAGCCGTTGGGGGTACGAAAAATGGTGGCCTTGACTTGAAGTAACTGAGGGGTTCTAAGCACATGGAAGCCCAAACCTACTTGTGTCAGAAATATCGTAAAGTCGGACATGCTTTTTTTTAGCAAAAGGTGACACAGTCGGAAAGTAAAATATGTTAGCCTGACCTTCCAGTCATCATTCGCTGGCTGGCATATTGAAATCTCGTTAGAATATCTGTGTTCAGTTATAACGCGATTAAACTAGTGAATTATTCGCCAACTCGGTACGTTACTATAGTTCATTTAGCTGAATTTATCGTCTCTTGAGGAGTACATCATAGACGTAATCAGACTGTTTTATGGATTGAGAGGCTCACGTCGGACAATTGTGTTTCTTTACAGAAAACTCCCAATACAGAACCTGAACCCTTCCTACGATCCGGACCCACACCATCATGTTGCCTATTCCTTCCCACTTTGGAAACACCCACACCGTCAACTGATTCAGTGACAGGGGGTAGTTTGTTTGCGGCGGCACTGACCAACCGCGTACTGGTAAGTCTTCTGACACTGCTGCTGTTGTTGCGATGATTTCCTCTGTTTAATTGTATTTTGACCTGGCCGTGTTGCCCATGCCCCCAATGTTGTTTAGAAGTATCCACGTTGTGCACTTCTGTTTGTGCAGCGCGTTATGGGTATCCTATCACACTCCGCTTTAATAAGTAGTGTCAAGTTTGGTCGACTGACGGACATTTGTGGAATATTTCTTATGTGCTGCAACTTTTTTGAGAATGACTTCCTCTGTGTATTGGTTAGCGCAGCCTCGTGACGTTGTTGTGTGCTATCGATAATGGTGAGACAGTAGTCTCATGTTACACACGAGGGCTGTGTTGCTGAGATATACGACCCTAGGTGGAGACCATCCGATTTTATGCTTGTTTAATGGCTGAAAATGGTGAGACAGTAGTCTCATGTTACACACTAGGGCTGTGGAGACCATCCGATTTTATGCTTTTTTAATGGCTGAAGACTGTTTATCGATCATTTGAGGTCGTCAAGCAGAGCGTTTCAGTGTGAGGCAGCTGGTGCGTTTTTTCTTCTGACACAATGACACGTGGTATTGGTTCATGCTGAATAAATTATGTCCGGATTATTCGTTTCATGTATCCTTTGCTGGTACACCTCTAGGTTTGGTCGATCCCAGAGAACATTCCACTGGATGAATCCAAACTTGCCGACCCTGAATCACTGTGGACTCAAAGCAGACCTTCGCGCTGCTTTAGTACTTCATCCTCGGCTCACGTCCTATGTTTAGATGCCTGCTTGTTAGCAGGGCAACGCGTTTTGGCTGCGGGAACAACCAATGGACGAGTCCTGGTTAGTCTTTCGTCTACCCTCTCCTGCTGTCATTTTCTCTTGTCGTATCGGCGCCTTGTTGAATGTACAAATTATCGCTCATCTGGCAGCAGAAACAGTCGGATTAAATTGGCCTTGCAAAGCAAGTTGTCCTTCAACTCCTGTCTACTCAAATATCCACCAGTAGTAGTGTATAGAGTGACGCGCAGTCGAACCCGATCACGATTCCGTGTGAACAGCTACCTAGTTACATTACCTTTGTATGGTAAACGTAGATTGTGTGAGTCACTCGCACCCTATCTGGGGCAGTAGGCAGTACTCATACCGAGACAGTGAAATGAGTAGTCCGTACAACTGCTGGCACTTTTCTTACTCAAAACTCTGACGATCCCTACACACAACCTGTCACTGTAGAGCAGGTATATCCAGGTTTTCTCAATTGCATTTTTCATTTGATGCTGCATTCGAACTTTCTTTGTTCCCAGTTGTTTATTGTGTTAGATCATTATGAAAATGTTTCATATGGTGCCATTCAAATAAGCCTTCTGTCAGCTTTTGACCGGACGTCAAAAGCACCATCACTGGATAATATTGCATAGTCTTATATATTGGGAGACATCGCATTATGTTGCCCTCGGGTCCTCGTCCTTCAAAGCAAGCCTGTTTAGTCAATCCAGCCGCATCAAAATGTCACATAGTACATCTGGAGCGCCGTTCTGGAACATTTTAAAAACGACTGCCATCGTTAAGTAAACGTGTTATCCATATTCTGCGTTCCTGAATATGGACCCGAGCCCAAAGACGTCCTTGGACATGACTGGAACCGGCGACCTCTCGCCTGTCGGGCGAGTGTCCTAACAACTGTCCTACGGTGGATGCAGCTCCACGTCGCACGTGTAAACTTGAGTCCACATCGACTCACCACACGCCTGAAGGGACAATAGTTGGTATCTACCAGTGCCACTAGGAAGCACCTCGTGTGATTTCCGCAATGTTCCATTCGTTAATGTCTTCCAGATACTGGAAGGTCTCTTACGATTGATATCCCCCAAATCTACACAAAGAGAAATCACTTTGGGTGCTTATTCTTCATTTGCTTCGTATTTTTATACCTTTTTCATTTTGGCCCCTACAGGAAACATGTTAATGGCAAACGACATGTGTACCTGCGGTCCTCCGATTGTTGTGTCCTGCCTCATCATGTTGCGCAATCTTGACTGTTGTAGTGAAAAGAGAGCAATTTTTCGGAGCAGGTATAGGTATATCCATCCTCGTCTCTGGAACAGGCTGCACAATCTTTTCAGCTCTGTCCATTCGCAGACTGGTAGCGATTGTTTGTTTGGCGTGAAGTGGTGTAATCCACTCCTGCAGAGGTTGTTTGGTGTCCGCTTGAATGTTACTCTCATTAGTTTGCGGGAAGAATTCACTAACACAGCTGGTCCTCATCACCAGGAATTTTCCTCATGAAAATCTTTTCACCTGAAGTGTTCTTTGCATGTAGGTTTCTGTCGACAATCAGAAATTGTCAAAACCGTTCTTTTATTATAGCCCTTTTTTGAGGTTAATGTTTCCCAGATGGAATGAGCGCAGTATTCGTCTTTCATGGTGGCTTTATATCAGGTGTGTTTATTCTGAAAAAGATTGATGGTATAATTGCCTATCTCTTGTGAATGTCGCTCAGTTGCTTTTATTGGAAAGCCATAGCAAATAATGCCTTTTGCGAAATGATTTTTCACTTACGGTTTAGGGTAAATAATTGACCGTGTCCCTCATAACCATGGAAGATTATTTTCACCCATTTTCACGGGATCGTACGTTTGGTTCGGACATTTCCTCCCTCTTATCATGACCTCAAACACCAATGTTTACCTAGCGACCTGCAACCGCGTTCACATTGGCAAGTTGCCATATGTTTATGATCAAACAAGCGCATAACTAGTGCGCGCGCCGGGACACTGCAACTTCCGCATTAGCTGTCACTTCCGGAGCCCAGCAGTATCCACACCGCTCCCTCAATTTGCCTACTTACCAAAAATTACGGTGAAATTCTTAGGTTTTCAAGGGTTACAAACAAAAGAGGCTGGATTGCAGCCACTTTGTTGGTTTCGTTTTTTTATAGGTAACTGAGTTCCTTGACTTCCGCAAAGTATACAAGCTGATTAGTTCCCCTGGGTTGTAAACAGGGAATTCCGGTCTTGTTAAGCGGTTTTCAGAGGTTGCCTGTCGGCAGTGTTATTATAATCCTTCTGTTAGACCAGACATTCACGCAGTCTAACACATATTTGACCGTCCGAAAACCTGGTCTGTTGGACTGTTATTGTCTGGCCGAAGCGTGTGTCCACCCCTCGGTTGGCAACATGTAAGCTAACCCAGGGACCCGATGGGAACAAGGAATTCCATTCTCCGTGGAAGTTGAAAACAACTTACTAATTTCTGGCATTGGTTTATCAGGTCCTTATTTCCGGAGTGCAGTCTAATGTTGTCGCCTGGCGTGCGACAGGCCATTTAACATATGGGACAATATATGGGTGGCGGAAATGTGTTGTCAAACCTTTTTCAGTTGTGAACTGTGCACGGAAAGCTCCCGCTTTGTTGGTAACTCAAGGGTAGGCTATGACCGCTTTTGCTGTACAATAATTTGTTTACTTCTTCATGCGCATGTAGAGGATTTTCATTGGATACTCAGATTGATTGGTTGATGGTGTTCCGATGCGCGCATTCATTTGAGACATGAGATAGATCTTTTAAACTTGTTCAATAGGGTATTCTAATACGTACTTAGTATGCTCTCTAATTACCCCCTCACCTCACTCGAATATCATTTTTACCAGTCTATCCTTGTATGTCCTGTCAACACAAACGATAGGCAAAGGATTTCGTTACTAGTATGTACTCAGGAGTAAGGGTGATAAAATGAGCTTCTCTTGTGGTGATTACTACCCGCAGAGGCTGTAAAGTGACTGGGCCACACAAAAGAGCATGTCAAAACCATATCGGTCCAAAATACTGTCTCTCTAAGGTGTTCGTGGGTGACGTTTTTCTACACTGGTCACCACATTGCTCTTCATTCAGTCGTTACGACAGTGTCTGATCGTTCTTACGGCATTTCCATTTTACGAACTTACCACAGTTCTGGCGAATGCGTGATGGAATCCGCCTGTTCGAACTCAGTGCTCATCCTAGCTGGGTCACATCCATCCGCCTGCTCTCACCGTTCATGTCACCTACGTATGGAGAACTGGAAAACGGCGATTTGTCAACATATGGGAGTAATGCGCCTATGGGAGTTCTGACAGCATCTGCTGATGGTGTTATCAAACGATGGGACGTGGGAGCAGCTTGCCTACCTTCCCCAACCACTCCTTCATCTGTCGGTCCTGCTTGGAATCCCAATCTGCCATACCCAACACAATCCCTACAAGCAGATCCAGAAGCAATCTCACCTACGGCGCTCCATGGTCTTTGGACGGATGTGTTCTCTGTTTGGTTTGGATCACACGGAGCATTAATGGTTGTTGGACGTCGCCGGCACTCAGCTGATTTACAGGTATGTTGTGCCAGTCGCCATATTTTTTTATTAAACTTGTGGAACGGGACCTCGGTTGTGATATTTAAACAGTTATGCAGACGGGATAATCTGTTCATTCGGCTATACTACATCCATACTGCCGAATCTTGTGACTGCCTGAGGGAATGCGTCGAACGGGTTGTAGATTCGGCCGACGTCGCCCTACCTTGTGATTTGGTCGGCACAGTACTACGACAGGGTGATCTGCCTGCTTCTGATTGTTTCAGATAGTTCTGTTGATAGGTGTTGGCCACGAATAAGGCCGATCTGTGATTCGTGCCTTCGCAAGTCCTCCTGTGGTCCCTGTACCGTAAACTGTAGTGTGACAGATGAGGTGAATGCACGAATCTGCAAGGCTCGGGCCGCGTTTGCTAACTTGAGACACCTATGGCGTCAGAATGGTTTATCCCTGAATCTGAAGGGACGTGTGTATCAAGCTACAGTACGGGCTGTCTTGTTGTATGGCTGTGAGACTTGGCCTATTCGAGCAGCGGACCTGAGACGTCTTCAGGCGTTCGACAATCGTTGTCTCAGAACCATAGCTCGTGTGGGTTGGTGTCAGCGAACCCGTAACGAG